GGAAACCCGTCACGCTCGAAAGGATCGTCGACACGATCATGCGATCACGATTATGTATACGATTAAGTCGATCTCGATTACATCTTCAACACAAAATGCTAGATCGCGATGGAACTTGGAATGTTTACTTTGAACGAATTTCCCACTCGGTTTTGAAGAGATTGATTGACACTTTTGCTCGTCGGAGACGATTCGCGATTTCTATGGTGATTCACGAAACACACCTGACGAAGAGTAGAATCACACTGAACTGATGGTTGTCGCGAGTATATCCCTTCTCCGGCCTTCCCCCTTCTTTCTCATATCCTTTCTCTTCCTCTCCATCGAGCAACCCTATTTGACCTTTTCTTATCCCCTCTTATGATGGACCCTGCTTTGACACAGCTCGGTAGTCTAATCCAATATTTTTTTTCAGCCTCTTTGAGCGATCTCTGATTAGTGAAAAAAATGTTACACTCGCGGTAATAATAAAATAGCTAACGTAATAAAGAAATAGGGGAGAAGAAAAAGGCTATAGGATGTATACATATCGTATTTATATTTCAACTCTACTATATGGTATACCTGGAATCCTTTAAAAAAGCTTTTTCTGGATTCTTTAAATAATATATTTGAAAATTATATTATTTTATCAAAATTAAAATTATACATGACAATAATATTTATATTTGTGAATTTTTAACGTTCAAAATAATCTTGATAATACAAATATCTGTAGAAAAAATTTCGAGATATTGTTTATTTCCGAAATTAATCAAAATTGTTATTTTATTTTCTTTGCATTTTTCATTATTTTTTTATTTTGTCTCAGATATACGACTCCTTTAATCTCTATAAAAAATTGAAGCCTATAATTGCTCGCGTTCGGAAGGCGCGAACTGTTTTCCCGTCTGTAATCTCTCGTTGCTTTAACAACGTCGTGTTCACCGATTCTACTAGCACGGGTTTATGGATTATACGGTGCTTCTTTCCAGCACCATAAAGTCTGCCGGAGGAGATTTGCAGACGCGCGCGTGAGTCACGATACGAGAAGGAAGCGAGCGAGAGGAACCGTTTGCGTCCTGTATGGCGTAAACGTTAATATCGTTCATTCCTTATGACGTGTCGAGCCGAGGAGTGCAAGGGCCTTTAGGTACCGTTAACCCCGTATCCCGCCATAATTCCTCTAATATCTTGGTCCTTAATCATCACTGTTCCTAGAAAATCCTCGATTTATTCTATGATTCGAAAATTTTTCAAGACCCTGATATTTAAGAAGATTAGGTTTCACGATCATTGCATTATGTTTGTAAAATCTTTTTGTCATTTTTCAATAAATACGTTTCAACAAAATACGTCAGGAAACATCTTAGATACCCGGAGAGACGGATTCCTTGAGGAATGCGGTCACGTTGGGAGCCGAATATTATGAGAAAGTCGCCAGGAAAACTGGAAAATTGATTTCCGCAGAGTCGAAAAGTTTGTCTCCTTATTTTCTTATTAAAATTATATATAATCTGGACATTAAGAACTCACAAATAAAAATTTTAAAATTCAATTTCGATTAAAAAATGATTCCAATATTAAATAATGTATATAAAAAATATTTTAACAAATTTAAATGTTGCCTGCATGTGTATCTGAAAAATTATTATATTTGAATAAAATAAAATTAAAATATATACATCTACTTACACATTTTTATTAATGAGCTATTCGAGCAATTTCCTTACTAATTTGACTACTTGTTTAAATTATTTAATTATTCATTGCATCGATATGCTATATCTTTGCATTGAAGATAAATCATTAAAGTATACAAAATAGAATTGAAATTCACTGTCATATTTGCGAAGATGAAGTGAAGACGTAAATTGTGGATAGTCGATGTGTAATTTATGCACGCGCCTCCTATTCTCGAACAACGACGTCTGTTGACAGTATTGCATCTTGCGACTCTTTTGTTTGTCTCACGAACATGCATCCGATGCATCCGCATGATCGGCGTGACTCGCATCGCATTCGCGGTATTTTATTGTTTGCAACCGGCTCGAATCTATACCCGAGACATTAATATTCAAGAAGCAAAATTAAAGTGACGAAACTGGAGGAGCTGCTGCTTTTTCTTTCTTTTTTTATGATACACACTGTACATGAGATACATGTGATGATTCATGCTGCGTGTTTCACGCACGTGTCACGCACTATCTACGTCACGTGGAACTCTCTTTAGGTTTCGCTTCAGGACTTTCCTTATTAATATTCCCATATAAATCTTCAGAATTTTCCTTATTAATTTTTTCATATATCACAAATCATGATATTTTTATTATTATTAAATGAAAATAGATAAAAAGTAATTTCATAAAAATATACCGCAGGTTAAATACAAGTTTCAGATAAAATGAATGATGTAACAAAATAATGAATTTTTACAAATTTTCCTTACTAAAAAACATGGCAGTGTTAAACTAAAAGAGTAGGAAATAGCAATAATAGTGGATGCCAATTTAATGCCTTTCTTTTTATTCGACAGGCACGTGCTCGGAGAATCAAATCGTTTTATCTGTAAAGTCTTGGAGAAAACAATTGATATTCAGGGAAACGCATGTGTGTCGACAAACTTTCTGCGCGCATTATAACATTTCCGTTTATAATTTCCGTTTTGTTTTTTTCTATCAATAATAAATAAACGAGTAAGTATAAATTAATCTAATTTATATAATAAAGAATAAAAATATGAGAAATAATTAATATACATATATAATTTATATGAGAAATAATTAATGTACATATATAATTTATTCTCAGAATTTTATTTTTTAATTCTCTAAAAATATGGAGAACACGTATATTTAAATCTACTTGAAATATAACGAGAGATTGAGGAAGGGGAGAGAAAGAAACTCGCGAGTTTAAAAATTAATTCAGCTACGGTCATGATATTTATAGATTTCCTCATGATGAGTTTTAATTGAGAGAGTTCACGACAGGCGAATAAATTAATTATCTTAAATCTGAGTCTTAAAAGAAACTCCTGCATATTCCTATTGATAGTATCAATCTTCTTTTGCGATGTAAAAAAATTTTAACGATTACATTGTTAATCAAATATCAAATCTTTTATGATTTTAAGTAAAAAAATATCTATTCTATAGATAACGTTCTTACAATACATGATAATTTTATAATACATTACATTTGTATATTTTAATTTGAAAGAGCACACGTGATTTTCGGGTTAAAAATGTTAAAAGTTCTAAGTTCTCGATTATTATTCTCATCGTGTAGTATTTTGTATCCCAAATACATATCTGTTGCTATACATGTCCACCCACACTGGGAGTTGGTAACGAGTAATGCGCGATAACACCACTTCCGGCTATGGGGACGCAAAATGAAACGCCTAGCAAACGGGAGAAAATTATTATTCCTTCGTCGCGTATAATATGAGTGCGTTTCGTTCACCTGGTATGTACATCTGGTCGGATTGTAGTCCTCGCGAAAGAATACGATTAGTGCTTAATGAGTCAGCATCGACAGCATAATTAATTCGCGACATTTTCGATGCAAATATAATAAATATTACAATATAATAATATATATTATAACAGTATATTAATAATTAAAGACTGTCAAATCGCAACATTGTACAATTACTAACGATAACATGTTATTTGTTCTTTTATTATATGAGCAATTTTATATTTTATAAGCACAACGTTAAATTCAAAATGAGATATCAAATTAAAAATTGAATAATCATAATACTGATAGTTTTATAAATTTTTTACTCTCTCGCACCTGACTGTCGAAATCCGAAGGATTCATAAACGTAGCCAGGCATTAAGTATTACTACTACAAGTTTCACTTTTCCTTTTACGCACTATTGTTAACGCTTTTGTGTATGAGCGTATATGTGGGTGAAATTTCCATTTTTTCACAAGTTACACATCACATTTTTTTCCTTCTATAATTTTTTTTCTGCTATTTTTCTCTTCTACGTTATTATATTTTTGTTATTTTAATATAAATACACAAACTTTTCAAAAACTCGTTTGTAAATTTAATTGAGCAATTAATTAACTATAGAAGATAAACTTAATTAATTATCTCAATATTGTTAGCAATATTATTGAGGAACATAATTGTAGTCTGTTGATTAATGTCATTCACCATTTAAGCATAAATAAGCCATTTACCTTGTCTTTGGTCAATTTTGCGGACTCGCAGTCAGATTCGACGTAAAAGATGGAATTCATTTCTTGACGATACCACATAGCTCTTTCAATTTCGTATCATACAATTTGCAAATTTCTCGTTAAATGTAATAAAAATACATTCGAGTCACTTTACACTTTATAAATATTCATTTTAAAATTATTTCGCGTCATTAATTTCTTTTAGCAGTCTTTCGATAATTAAAATGTTTTATCTTAATGTGCAGTCCACTTATACTTCTGTGATTTATGACTAAGAATGTATTATACATGCATATATCAACTATATTTTATCTAATCAGGTGAATTTTTTTACACGTCTCCAATTTCACTTTTTCAATTGTATATAAATGCTAAATAATTAAAAATTTTTTAATTACGAGGGAAACACTTTTCTGGAAAATCAAATGCAACGTGCTACCGTCACGGTGGTCCCGTGAAAACTGGAAAGCGAAACCATAATCGTGTACGTTCTTCGTTTGAGTACGTAACGCATGCTCTCCCCTACTCTATCACAAGTAATCTCTCTTCTTTCGCTAGCTCTCTCTCTCTTTCTCTCCTCATCCCTATGCTTCTCTTGTTGGTCGATTATCTCTTTCAACCCGCATTAATTCAACGAAAGCCACTGCAAAAATCGTAACAAGTGAAGTAACTGAGAATAAAATATCTGAATTTCAGTTGTTTAGTATATAAATTAAATTAATAAGCTAAAATAAAAATAAATTTAATTAAAAATAGAAAATACTAACTTTTTGTTTCAAAATTAACAAATTTTCTTGTGGAAAAGCCAATTTTACAGAATGACTATTGGAACAGAATTATTAATTACGGCAGAACCTCATTTGATCCCAGGGTAAAAAATTAACCTTCACGATACATGTACAATATTTAATTAATTAATACAATACTGAAAAATTTTCCTATCTTTTATATTAGAAAGTAAATTTATGAAAAATAATTTATTGCATTAAGAAAATTTATATACATAATTATGCCAAATAAACATTACTCTGTGAATTTTAAAAAGATCGGATATTTTTTTAGATATACTGGTTATTGTCCGCAATATCGATTTAGACATGGTGAAACATATGCAAAAACTACACATAAATTATTACTCGATCCTACAATTAACCATGCAAATACACTCATTCTATCGAATCGTGTAATCGACGATTACGAGGTAAATGATTCATAATACTATACTCTTGTGATACGTAATGAAATTAATTAAGTTTTTGAAAATTTTCTGAACAAAATATTTGCATACACATTACTTATGATATAGATTTTTTAAATAATATTCATTGATTCTTTAATAACAAATATATAGGCATGGAGAGCGCTAAAAAGCGATATAAATGTAGTTAATATTCGTTTTAAGAGGACCGATCCTGTATTCGTACACCCTATGTTACCAGGGTATGAAGGTGCTTATCGATTTCTCGTATGCTTATCAAAGCAAATTGATATCTGGAGTATAAAATCTGTGATATAAAATTATCACAAGTCTACGTCACTTGTGAAATAAGTTTTTTTTATACATTCAATTGCTATATTTTACCTAGGTTTCATACCAGGATCGATCGCTAGAATCGGACAGAGATACACGGTGCTCGCGACCGAAGGACTTGCCGATTTCGAACGGCAACAATTACGAACTAAGGCAACATTAAATCAGTTGAGAAAAACGATCGACGTACAAAGTGGACGAGCCGAACCGCGAAATTTAGAGGAACGTTTGGTGAGGGAAAGATATCAGTAAATGCAATTATTTGACCGTCCTAGAATCTATTATCATAAAAATCAGTTTTTAAATTAAAAAATTTTTAAAGATTTTATCAATGTTTAATATCGATTTTTAGCTAATTAAGAGCCAATTTAAATTACCCGTGCTAACTGTGCGACCTGAATGCATGGCGGCGACGAATTCATCATGAACGAGAAAAATACGCAACATTAAAAAAATGTATGTATTTTCGTTTTATATGTGAAAAATACAACTTTAACAAATTATACTCAATTCTGCTAAAATAATCTCAAAAGATATTTTTTCTAAAAAGCAATATTTATTATTGAATCGATTGCCTATAATTATTATAAATATTGCTTGGTCAATTGTTCAACTGAAACATAATTTGTTGTGAAATGTCATTATTTCCTCCCTTTTTAATAATTGCAATTTTAATAAAAATAATGTTATATATTCATTACACTTGAATATATATATAGATAAAATAATTTTAATTACTAATCAAAATATTTCAATTTTTAAATATTTTGAAATTTTATGATTTAATTTTTAAATATCTTGAAATGTTATATTATATCAAGATATATATATAGAGAGAGAGAGAGAGAGAGAGAGAGAGAGAGAGAGAGAGAGAGAGAGAGAGAGAGAGAGAGAGAGAGAGAGAGAGAGAGAGAGAGAGAGAGAGAGAGAGAGAGAGAGAGAGAGAGAGAGAGAGAAGAGAGAGAGAGAGAGAGAGAGAGAGAGAGAGAGAGAGAGAGAGAGAGAGAGAGAGAGAGAGAGAGAGAGAGAGAGAGAGAGAGAGAGAGAGAGAGAGAGAGAGAGAGAGAGAGAGAGAGAGAGAGAGAGAGAGAGAGAGAGAGAGAGAGAGAGAGAGAGAGAGAGAGAGAGAGAGAGAGAACGTTATTTCAATTGTTTTCGTAAGTTGTTACAAATTTCTTCCATGAAATGTATGTTAAAGCAGATATTTGCGGGTTATCTGCAAAACATAATTCTATTCTCCCGTAATACGGTATTTGCATGATCACTAATAATTAAATAAAATGAACCTTTCGAATGGCAAAAACAGTACATGGTATTCCTTCATCCGTGAAAACGCGAGAAGTAACTATGATTATATTAATTATTATCTGTAATAATTGCAATCTTAATATATCTCGTTATTGTGATATAATTTTATAATTATATAATTTTATAAAATTTGAATAATTTATATTATTTATAAAATATATGTATAATATATGTATAATATATGTATAATATATGTATAATAAATAAATTGTATATATATTTTCCAATTTTTCTATATAAATTATTTCAATAATAATGTATATAACGTTTAGATTTGCACTTTATTTAGTTTTGCATAAGGCAATTTAAAAACAATTTAGAAAACATTTACTAAAAAATAGTTATCATAGCTCTATTCTGTAAAGGATACGCGACTCATGTTCCTCATGGTTATGCATATTTCGGAAAATCAATTGTTTCATCGTATGACAGTCTATTACGCGATTTTACAAGTTGTCGAGAGAGACAGAATATGGAATACGAACCGATGACAGTTATTTCTCCTGATCCACCGTTACTTATCCAGCCTTCTGAGATTTATCATAAACACGTAGGAATGATACCGAATTATCTCGGACATATTCCTGGAGCGATATTCAGGCAAGTTTAATCAATTAATTTATATGATATAAATGATACGAGAATTGAAGGATGCGGATATCAAGATGTCTAAATATTCGAAAAATCAGGATCCAAGGATTCAAATGATTCTGCACAGAAAAGAGGATTCTCAAGGATCCGAGGATCTTAATATAAAAGACATATTTTTTTCAACAATATTTTATAGATGCGGTAAAACATTCGGAGCAGACTCGACAGATGCCAAAAAATGGCTTCAAGGAGACTCCGACTTGTAAATCGATTTCGTAATGATACGATGTTGTCCAATAATTACAAAATACATTACTGAATCGCATATGAATCACGCGATATATCTTACAAAAAATTTATAAAATTTATGTGCATGCAAATTTAAGATTATAAGTATATTTACATATACATGTGACGAAGAGGACATTGCTATTATGAACTATATATGCTTTCAGAAATAAAAATCTCTATTGTGACATCTTTCTAATTATTTCTAATAAGTTCATATAGAAGCAATGTACAAAATATTAAGTCAGTGCAAAATACGAGACAAGTATCAATAGTCAATAAATATACAAACGTGCATACTCATATACACATATATTGTACACAATATATATGTATATATGTATATAATTTCAATTAAATTTTCGATTTAGACACCCATTTTTTCAAGATATCACCAGCCGCCTTCAAATTTTCGTCTTTCTGTTAAAATACAATTGAATTGATATTTAACAAACGTATGTCTTTTTAATTATAGTTATATATATATATATATATATATATATATATATATATATATATGTAACTATATATATATATATATATATATATATATATATATACATATATATATAAATTATAGTTATAGCATTTACCTTTATAAAACAGTATCGCACATAGTCCTCTCCCAGATGTTTGTGTTCAGGACTGTAAAACGCTGAGGGAGGAATACCTTGAAGGCCAACATTTTTCGTCATCCATTTAGTAAATTTGTAATCCTTGTTCTCGTCCGTTTCTTCTTGTAGCTTTACTTTATTCTCCAAAGGAGACCAATTGGCGAGCATAAAGTATCCACCCTCGGGTATCGTCGGTACCATACCAATTTCCTGAAGGAATTTCGCCATATAATCGCGTTTTGGTAACAGCTCCAATGCCAAACTATGAAAGTAGCAGTCGGGTTGATCAAGGCGTTCCATTTCCAATTCGAATCCAATAGCTACCGCTTCCTTCAATGGAAATAAAGATAATTAATTTTTATTAAAGAGTATAATTAAATTACACAATTAAGAAACATTATTTTCATTTTAGAGAAATTACTTGAATTGGTGTGGTACAGGTGTATACAGAGTTCTGATGTATAACTTGCAGATTATATAGCAAATTCGCTGGTCCATAGGCCCAGCCTATTTTCCAGCCTGTAACGCTGAATGTTTTGCCCGCCGATCCGATTGTGATTGTACGTTCGTACATATCAGGCAATGTTGCTGTTTAAAATAAGAAATAAAAATAAATCTTTTAAACAATGTTCAAGATTTAAAATCCATATTATTAATTAAATAGTATAATTCTTACCAATTCTTATGTGCTTGTACGGTTCATAAATAATATGCTCATAAACTTCATCTGCAACTACAAGAGTATTCCATTTCTTCGCGAGATTGGCAATAAATTGTAATTCGTCCAATGTAAATACCTTTCCTGTCGGATTATTTGGAGTATTGATAATTATGCCTTTAGTCTTATTGTTAAAAAGACTCTCCAACTCTTCTCTATCGAATACCCAATCACCAGAAGATACTATACCCGATGTAGATTTCTGTAAAAACAGAGATGTAAATATTATAAATTTTATATATATATATATATATATATATATATATATATATATATATATATGAAATATATATATATATATATATGTGTGTGTGTGTGTGTGTGTGTGTGTGTGTGTGTGTGTAAAAAATTTTGGCTTGCATTATTCAAAATGTTTACCGGTTTTAATGCTATGTATCTGGGAATTCCCTCAGCACTTTGTACCATAGGTACATAACAATCAAAGAAGGGCTCGATAATGATCCACTCATCTCCAGGATTGGTATGACCTTGTAAAGTCGCATATAATGCTTCATAAGCACCAGCAGTAACTATCACTTCTTTGTTTGGATCCAAGTCACGATTAATGAGCTTAGAGTAGAATTTTGCAATTGCATTCACTAATCTTGGATGACCCTGCAATGTATTTAGCAATAAAATATAAAATTTCTTACATGTATGCTATAATAGATAAATGAAAATAGTTTTATCATTGCTTATTTCATATATATGTATATATAAAACATGGATATTGTTTATCGCTAACAATTATATTGATAATATATTTGTAATTTATGAACAAATATATAAATTAAATTAAAAAATTAATAAGCAGATACTTACAAATCCTCTAGTATACTGTTGCAAAAGTGGATTTTCACTTTTGGCAATCGCAGCCAAAGCATTAGTTACATTCTCCGGAGCATAATAATCTGGAAATCCCTGGCCCAAATTCAACGGCTTGTACTGCAGAGCGAGCTGGATATATTCCACCCTAATCAAATAAATATAAGCGATATGATAAGTTTTCATATACTTTTACTTATTATGAAAAAAATTTGTTACAATAATATTATTATTTACCAGACAGATTTCTCACTGCCCTTGAGGCGATTGGGAAGATCAAATTTTGACATTCCAGCAATGTTTTGGATATTTCTTACTGTATTAAACGAAGCAGCTTTACTTGCTATTGTCAGGAAACAGACTCTCGCTAGCATCTAGATAACATATGAGATAAGCAAAACTAATTAATGATAAATTGCTTCTTGTTCAAACACACACATATCAGTTAAAAATTTAAACATTAGATACCGTTAACAATATAAAATATGAAATTACCTTTTATTAAGCGCAGATTAAACTAGCGTGTATTAATTTTGCGACAATATCATCGTGACTAGCATACATTTGTATGAAAATATCAATTGTGTACAAATATAATTAACATGTAACGATAAATGCTTATGTAATCCATAATATCGTATATTGGCGGGAAACTTAATTTTCACAAAGATAAGCTATCATCTTTAATTAAATGCTTCTTTAACTATTTGCTACGAGTAATTTAACTTTCAAAAAAACGTGGCACTAATCGAATAACATATGTCTAATAGCAATCACAACGAAAATTATAATGAATACGTACTCAATTTTTCGCAGAATCTTCTCGATGAACTCGTAGAAAAAGAACGAGATAAAGCAAATACGTTGAAAGAAATATATAAATTAAAATCGATATCAATTCAGCGGACGAAATAACCGACGAAAAGGATGTAGTTGATGTCAGTTTACTTATGTAATAATTTGCAACAAGTGGTTAAGATTTCATAGACTTTAGATAAAACAAGATAAAAAAAGCGTTAAATACCGAAGGACAGAGAACGGAGGGGAAAATCTAACCATATAAGACGGGCTACGCTATTGGTCGACAGAGATACAGCAATTCAAATCAATTAAAAATCTAAAAGTCGCAGAAATTTAATCAAGAATATGATAACATCAGATAATTCAGATTATTAATATCTGATTAAAATTCTAATAAAAGTACGTGTATTGCAAATATCTTGTGAAAATGATTGTGAGATTGTAAGAATACATGAGATACATACATATTGTATATCATATAATTGCATCATGTTAACTTTTCAAGTGTAAAATTTTTAAAATTAAATTTTATAAATTTTTTTAATCGAGAGCGTAGATGTTTAATTGTTTGTAATCGTCTGTAATCGTATCTTTTGAAGTTTAAAAGAACAAAGAATTGAAACAGAGAGCTTACCAAGAGTGCGAAGAAAACCGTGATGTTTCTCATGATGGATACAGTTGCTCTGATACGATTAGCATGCGTGCCAAATAAAAAAACGAAAGGCAAAGGCTAACTACTTTCACTTTTCAGTAATCCACTTCGATTTGAATGGTAGATTCAAAGTACTCCCTTCCTTTTATTCGCGCGCATTTTCTATTGCGTCATCGACGAAATGTTTTTAGACCCGCAACTCGAGGTGAATTTTTCTGTATCAACTTTTACCCCTAAAAATAATTAGGCCCTATCCAGATGCATAAAGGTGCAATTTCATTGACGCTACTTTTTAGCGTCAATGAAATTGCACTTTAAGTTCATATTTTTATGTTTATAGAGGATGCATCGTCCTTTCAGGGATAACCTAAAGCCGGATACTTTGTTAATCTAGTGACTTTAAGATCGCCTAAAAGCAGCTATGACAAAAAAAAGAGTGAAAACTATGAACAACTTTGTTGTTTGTTTTATAGATTTTAAAAATGGCTTGTCGTATGCTACATATTTAGAGTTGTAAATAATTTGATAAAAAATGTTCAATCTATAAACAATGGTAACGCAAATGAAATATATCATTGTCTCTAAATCATTATATGTAATTAACATATAATGTGTATTTAAAATTAATTTATCAATTTAACTCCAATAAAATTATGAAATTTTTTTCAGGTATATTATTGTTTAATATTGTTTAATTTATTGCTTGTCAGTCATTCACATTTATTAAAAATAGTCACTTTATTAAATAATGTGAGAAACTCTATATTTTTTGCGAATAGTAAGTAGAACTTTTATGGATATAGCATTGTGATAATAGTTTATATTTACAGTAGAAAATAATTTGTATTTCACTGTGCTTTTGTTCTATAGGACCTGAAGATGAATTATGAAAGGGTGTGACAAGTATCAGTAATGCAGGAAGATGCAGAGATAGAGCAAGAAGAGTAGTGAAAAGAGAAGCTCCTAAATAAGGAGCAAATTATTGGCATGGGAAAAATTCCGATACAATTTCCTGGTCTAAACACTCCTGTGTTTAGAGGAAAAGAATTAATTCAACAGCAAAAACTGCTTGTAAATCTTGAAAGAAAGCAAAAACTTATGGAATTACCACAAAGTCAGACCAGACCGATGCAAATAAAATTATCGCCATTGGAATGTGGTTGGACGAGTGTTACAATGGATGGCAGAAGCATTGAATCAGATCTTATTGGAAAAGGTTAATCTTTATGCTATTATTAGATTATAATGGTTAAATCACACACATACAAAAATCATGTGATACGATGTCTATTTTCAATTTTTTTTTATGTTTCAGTTCTAAATATTAAAATCTTATATAATTAATATCTTTGTTTTCTGTAGATACATTGAAAATTTTGAAACCTGGATTTTGGAAAACAAAATGATAACTTGTATGACCGGTAATTTAGCACGTAAGAATAGAATCAGTTCATTTATAGTAACCGGAAATGGAAATGGATTAGCTGGATTTGCGTTATCAAAAGCCAAAGCATCCCTAAAGACGGTTAAAATCCCTAAAGACGGTTAAAAATAGGGTTGGTCAAAGACTAATGTATATTCCTACATATAAGGAATACACTGGTAAGAAAATAATTGTCAATACTATATAATATAAAATTTATTTCTTTCTTTTAATATCACTTTGTATTTTTCAGTGTTACATGATTTCTTTACACAGTTTGAGGATATAAAAATATTTGTAAAGAAAATTCATGAAGGATAATGAGCTTGTTTGTCATCATGCGATAAAAGCATGTTGCGAGATAATTGGCATAAAGGATATGTATGCCAAAGTACAAGGAGGAATGTAAAAGCATTCTTTATTGGTTTATTGCAACAGGTATGTATATAAAGCATTTAAAGGCATATTATACTTTTTATTTAATTTATATTAGAAAGAAACATTTTTTATTTATAAAAATATATATCATATACATATATATATATATATATATATATATATATATATATGTGTTAGACATAAAGCTAAAAAAAACGTGGATTGTGTCGATTAATTAATTAATTGTTTTATTTAATTATCAATTTATATATGTATATTATTAACAATAATTTTTTGTTTACTTAAACTATAAGGTATAAGGTTGTACATAAGAAACAATCTTTTTTATTTAGTATTTCAAGCATATTTTCATAGAACTTTAATTTAATTATTATATTATTAAAAATATTGAACAAAATAAAGAATTAAAGCTGGCTTTCTCTGCAGTCTCATGGCAGATTATATCAGAAATCATACTTTAATTATTGCAATATATCATGAAACAAATCAATCTCAAAATAATGGAAATATTTGCAGAAATATCAAATATGTAATGTAAATATTTTAATTTTTTTGTATGCGATCTATTTTTTATTCTATCGATGTTTTCATAGTGATGCACCTTGAGCACTTTGCTTCATATGTTTGCAATAAAAATATATTAAAGCAAATTATTTTGCAAATTTATTATTCTAATTTTTATTTAGAAAGACTGAGATTAAAAAAGACGTATGCATTTTTTTCAGATATTTTCTATTGAAAAAAACGCATCAGATAAAACTTTCCTGTACATTTTAAATGCGCCAAAAGATTTGCTCTTTATTCCACTTACTGCAATAATGTACACTAAAAATGACAGATCTATATTAAAAATGATAGATCTATATTTAGTAGTTGGAAAGAAAGAGAGGAGAAATGAAAAGTGCATCTAGAGAATTTAAAAGAATAAAAATCTAAAAATAATAATACATAAAAATTAATATTATGTATTTTTTTCATGAGGAATGTGGGGCGCACATTTATGCATTTATTTATTTGGATGAGATTTACTTTAGAGCACATTCAGTATTCAACTTTAATTTTATTTTCTCTTTCTTATGATATATAAGTATAACATAATTACCTGCAAATGCTATCACTTTGTGTGCTTACAGTGATACAGAAGCAACATTACAAGTACTATATTTACAGATAACATCTGTATAATAAAAAAAGCACCAAAAATCTAATGATGAAAAAAGGATAAATATTGTAGACCAGGAATTCAACCAATTATTCCACCGCTCTGTTTCATTAGAGTTGCAATTTTCTTTTATATCATAAATATTATAAATAAGATAAAGATTTCCATAGTTTCAAATAAATTTATATATTTTATGTATGTAATACTGCGCACACATATTAAAAGGTGATAATATCGCAGTTATAATAAGATACGATCCTGGCATGTAGTGATTTTTGGATCCTACTTAAAATAATTTAATTTGATTTATTTTTGAGAAATGCGCACAATACTTGAGAACAAATTATTTTTGTGCCATGTATTACCTGTGTAAAATTCCACACACAGTATCATATTGTCTGCGACATATGAAAAGCTTCATCGATGAAATATGATTGAGATATAAGAAAAGTAATATAGTACTTGTAATGAATAACGTTAATGTGGAATACATAAATATTTTATATTTTAATTTCATATAATCAAGATGAGATAAGACACTCATGATTACTTTAAAAATGTGTCACAAATATCATGTAACTTCAATAGCTGCAATTCGTCAAATTAATCCTATATTAAATGAATCACAGCAGCTTGTTTTAATTTAATCTAACCTAACCAATTATATTATATGCTCCTCATTAAAATGTGTAAAACTGTACGTCGCACATTTAATGCGATTAATATACTACGTAATAAAATGTAATACACTAATGAAATAATTAAATATTATTTTTGAAAGCATGATACAATCCAGGCAGCATACGCTTGTATTTACATTCGACATCCAAAGCCACTGAGAGATTAGGTTAGGTTAGATTAGGTTAGATCAAACAAATTTATCGTTTAACAGTTGGCAGCCCTACGAGATAGGCTGTGCAGCACTGCGTGTATATAAAATAAATTTGAAATCGCTTCTAAAGCCTAACCATCGTCACGCGATCGACTTTATTTGAATTGCACGGCATCGCATCGAATTATGATGCGGCGTCGATTTGTTCGAACGTAATTCGGGACATCGCGATGCTGTATAAGCGTCGAATGAGCACGAATTGTCACGCAAATATGATAAATCACATCTACTCACCGTTCACCGGCTGTTCCACAGGCCGCTCCATTCGCTGGCCTCGGGACGTCTCATTCCGATCTTGATGCACACAAACTCACACGATATCATCAACGCGAACGCGCGACACTTTATTTGGCACTCCCGATATTCACTCGCATCCGATAATCATCATCAAGGGCACAAATAACGCGACGCGACTTCGCTCCATTTTCGCGATCGCGCTATCACTGAATTGTCGAAAACGGCTGTCGCGCACTTTCACTGACATATTACAAAAGTCGCGCGATCATCCTTGAACACTTTCGACGCTCGTTCACTCGCGATATTCATTTAAAAACGGTTAAAAGATGCGAAAAATGCGGACGTACGACGATCCGTGTAACTGCGTATGACTCCGAGGCACGTATGACGCGTATGACGTAGCAGTGACGTAGCAGTCACGCGCCAACATGGCGGCCGAACCAGTGCGCACTGGTTCGGCCGCCATGTTGGCGCGTGACTGCTACGTCACTGCTACGTCAAACGCGTCATACGGCCGCCATGTTGGCGCGTGAATCGGAGTCATACGCAGTTACACGGATCGTCGAACGTCCGCATTTTTCGCGTCTTTTAACCGTTTTTAAACGAATATCGCGAGTGAACGAGCGTCGAGAGTGTCCAAGGATGATCGCGCGACTTTTATAGTGTGTCGATGGAAACGCGCGACAGCGATTTTTGACGATATTCAGTGATGGTGTCATTGCGAAGATGGAGCGAAATTGCGTCGCGTTATTCGGGCCCTTGATGATGATTATCGGATGCGACCGAGTATCGGGAGTGCCGAATAAAGTGTCGCGCGTTCGCGTTGATGATATCGTGTGGATTTGTGTGCATCAAGATCGGAATGGGACGTCCCGAGGCGAGCGAACTGTCCCGAGGAGGAGCGGCCTGTGGAACAGCCGGTGAGTAGATTTGATTTATCATATTTGCGTGATAATTTGTGCTCATTCGACGCTTATACAGCATCGCGATGTCCCGAATTACATTCGGACAAATCGGCATCATAATTCGATTCGGTGCAATTCAAATAAAGTCGATCGCGTGAAGATGGTTATGCTAGAAGCGATTTCAAATTTATTTTGTACGCGCGCGCAGTACTGTACAGCCTATCTCGTAGGGCTGCCAACTGTTAAACGATAAATTTGTTTGACCTAACTTAACCTAATCTAACCTCTCAGTGTCTTTATCGAATGTAAACACAAGTATATGCTGCCTGGATTGTATCATGCTTTCAAAAATAATATTTAATTATTTCATTAGTGTATTACATTTTATTACGTAGTATATTAATCGTATTAAATGTGTGACGTACAGTTTTACACATTTTAATGAGGAGCATATAATATAATTGGTTAGGTTAGAATAAATAATAGAATAAATTAAAACAAGCTGCTGTGATTCATTTAACGTAATAGGATTAATTTGACGAATGTGCAGCTATTGAAGTTACATGATATTTGTGGACACATTTTTAAAGTAATCATGAGTGTCTTATCTCATCTTGATTATATGAAATTAAAATATAAAATATTTATGTATTCCACATTAACGTTATTCATTACAAGTACTATATTACTTTTCTTATATCTCAATCATATTTCATCGATGAAGCTTTTCATATATCGCAGACAATATGATAGTGTGCAATTTTACACAGGTAATACATGGCACAAAAATAATTTGTTCTCAAGTATTGTGCGCATTTCTAAAAAATAAATCAAATTAAATTATTTTAAGTAGGATCCAAAAATCACTACATTGCCAGGATTGTATCTTATTATAACTGCGATATTATCACCTTTTAATATGTGTGCGCAGTATTATATACATAAAATATATAAATTTATTTGAAACGTACAGAAATCTTTATCTTATTTATAATATTTATGATATAAAAGAAGATTGCAACTCTAATGAAACAGAGCGGTGGAATAATTGATTGATACTTATGCTGATCTACAATATTTATCCTTTTTTCATCATTAGATTTTTGCTTTTTTTATTATACAGATGTTATCTGTAAATATAGCACTTGTAATGTTGCTTCTGTATCACTGTAAGCACACAAAAGTGATAGCATTTGCAGGTAATTATGTTATACTTATATATCATAAGAAAGAGAAAATAAAATTAAAGTTGAATACTAAATGTGCTCTAAAGTAAATCTCATCTAAATAAATAAATGCATAAATGTGCGCCCCACATTCCTCATGAAAAAAATACATAATATTAATTTTTATGTATTATTATTTTTAGATTTTTATTCTTTTAAATTCTCTAGATGCACTTTTTATTTCTCCTCTCTTTCTTTCCAACTACTAAATATAGATCTATCATTTTTATTTAGATCTATCATTTTTATATAGAATATACATACCTATTTCAATAAACCAATAAAGAATGATTTTACATTCCTCCTTGTACTTTGGCATACATATCCTTTATGCCTTTATATTATCTCGCAACACGCTTTTATCGCATGATGACAAACAAGCCCATTATCCTTCATGAATTTTCTTTACAAATATTTTTATATTCTCTAAACTGTGTAAAGAAATCATGTAACACTGAAAAATACAAAGTGATATTAAAAGAGAAGAAATAAATTTTATATTATATAGTATTGACAATTATTTTCTTACCAGTGTATTCCTTATATGTAGGAATATACATTAGTCTTTGACCAGCCCTATTTTTAACCGTCTTTAGGGATGCTTTAGCTTTTGATAACGCAAATCCAGCTAATCCATTTTCATTTCCAGTTACTATAAATGAACTGATTCTAGTCTTACGTGCTAAATTACCGGTCATACAAGTTATCATTTTGTTTTCCAAAATCCAGGTTTCAAAACTTTCAAATGTATCTGCAGAAAACAAAGATATTAATTATATAAGATTCTATTATTTAGAACTGAAACATCAAAAAAAAAATTGAAAATAGACATCGTATCACATGATTTTTGTATGTGTGTAATTTAATCATTATAATCCAATAATAGCATAAATATTAACCTTTTCCAATAAGATCTGATTCAATGCTTCTGCCATCCATTGTAACACTCGTCCAACCACATTCCAATGGCGATAATTTTATTTGCATTGGTCTGGTCTGACTTTGTGGTAATTCCATAAGTTTTTGCTTTTTTTCAATATTTACAAGCAGTTTTTGCTGTTGAATTAATTCTTTTCCTCTAAACACAGGAGTGTTTAGACCAGGAAATTGTATCGGAATTTTTGCCATGCCAATAATTTGCTCCTTATTTAGGAGCTCTCTCTTTTCACTACTCTTCTTGCTCTATCTCTGCGTCTTCCTGCATTACTGATACTTGTCACACCCTTTCATAATTCATCTTCAGGTTCTATAGAACAAAAGCACAGTGAAATACAAATTATTTTCTACTGTAAATATAAACTATTATCAAAATGCTATATTCATAAGTTCTACTTACTATTCTCAAAAAATATAGAGTTTCTCACATTATTATATTTAATAAAGCGACTATTTTTAATAAATGTGAATGACTGACAAGCAATAAATTAAACAATATTAAATAATAATATACCTGAAAAAAATTTCATAATTTTATTAGAGTTAAATTGATAAATTAATTTTAAATACAGATTATATGTTAATTACATATAATGATTTAGAGACAATGATATATTTCATTTGCGTTACCATTGTTTACAGATTGAACATTTTTTATCAAATTATTTACAACTCTAAATATGTAGCATACGACAAGCCATTTTTAAAATCTATAAAATAAACAATAAAGTTGTTCATAGTTTTCACTCTTTTTTGTCATAGTCTGCTTTTAGGCGATCTTAAAGTCACTAGATTAACAAAGTACCGCAATTTTGATCTCAATAAGATAAGCTGGAGCAAAAATGGCGTCCGATAGTATAGATATAGGTTGCGATTGTTGCATTTCTCCACGCAACAACCTGGCATTTTTGATATTTTCTTCTTTTTTTGCGCAACAGAAGGAGTTTTCTCACCTCACACACACAGGACAAACCAGGATCAAGGTTAGAAAAATTGCACTTAGTATAGATAGCTACACAAAGTGTGCACTATCTGCACTATCGGACATCATTTTTGCTCCATCTTATTGAGATCAAAATTGCGGTACTTTGTTAATCTAGTAACTTTACGTAAAATTATAATGTAATTTCAAAAGTCGCGCATGCGCAGAGCCGCACATGCACGCGATCCCTAATCGGAACACTGTACCTAAGAAGTAGGATCTTCGAACATATTCTAAAGCGCGCTAAATTTAAGACACGTTTGCTACTGTAAGTACTTGAGAATTTTTTTAATGCTTCAATCAACGAGACATTGACATTATGAAAGATTTATTATACATAAGGTAAATTTATCGCATTACTTAGACTGACGATTATTTTTGTTTTGCAAAATTATGTGCAAAGAAATCTTGTAACTATTACATTATATATTTTCAATGTATTTGTATCAAAGGCCATCTTTCGTTTATTATTACGATAAGTATTAGAAACGATTTTGTAATAAGTTTTTTATAAAGCGTATTTGTACATTCTATCGGTGCGCGAAAAATAAATGGAACAAACCAGACGGCTTTTGGCCGTTCGACCTTCCCGAAGCTAAATTGTTGCACATCTCGAAAGAGGGGACAAATACACGCGGAACCATCGGCCTAATTTTAGAATCCGTCACATTCGTGTCTCTTTATTCGCAGAAGCGAGTCTCGTAGAAAGAGAGAGACATGTTACATTAAATATACAATCTGTCCCGATAACAATTACAGAATGTCTTCGACGAAGAAGGGGTAAGCCAGCTTTTTCCGATTTCAAAATAGAAGCTAATAGCTTCATGTGAAATTTACATCCTGTCACAAATATTCGTTCAGAGGCGACATGATTTTTCCTGTAATAATAAATTTACATTCGCGTCGCTAATATATTATCTATAATATGCCTCTTCTGTGCTTCGGACCAACCGTTACTCGTACTCTATTTTGAATTACCTACGATTAAATTTAGAGCAATAGGAAGAAATATGGCAGACCCGTCTGCAAAAAATCAAAAAAAGGTCACCAATTATACGCGGTCTAAATGTACGCATTTGGCGTACTAGGTTCCGCGTTTCGGAATCGATGATCTGCAAATCTTCAGACACATTCTGTACGTGCATTAAGATTAAAAGACACTGTGTTATAAGTAGCATACAATTCCTAAATAAAACTAGAAAAGAAAAAATACATACAAGTTCGAAAATATACTGAATAAATACAATAGACAAATATTTTTTTGACAAATGTTTTTCCAGAGCTAGAAAAATGAAAAGCAGATTTTCTCAGAATTAAAATAATTGAGAAACGATAACAAAATTTCATATACGTGAAGAAAGATTTCATATACGTTCTCAAAAATGTTCTTACATGATATAATGTAACATGACATTGACTGGTTCAAAGAATTTCTTAAATATCGCTTCATCATCTCACTCCCCATTATTCTTCACATAATTTCTTATTTTTATAAACTGATGATTAAATTGAAGATTGAAATAGATATCGTGTTATCTTTCTTGCTTCCAGTTTTTTATAATTGCTCTTGATGATTCCCTAAAAAAATTCCAATTTACATTTATTTATTAAATTATATAAGAACATTTTGTTTTTCTTTCTCACGAATTTCGTCGTGTCAAATTGCTCTTTTTACGTTTCATATTGCATCGTATCGTCTTTTGTGTTGCAGAAACGTCTCGCTCGACGAATTTTGTCGTGTCGTGTACGACGAAATTGTCTCGCAAGAGCCGTTTGCAACTCGATTCGCGAAATTGTCCACGTCGGGCGACAGGCGAGGAATGATCGAGATGCTCGTAGAAATGCCCCGTGTAGCGGGCCTGAAACCGGGCGATTCGTATCAGGGTAAGAACGACGCGCGAGCCGCGCGATTGTACGAAAAATCGCTTAAAATGACGGCGGCAGGATCCGGGGACGAGCACGCGGAGATTAAAACGTGTAATATTCTCACAAAAGCACTGTTTGCAGCCGGTGCGAACGGTAGAGTGTTTCTAGATGCGCTCTGCGAGCGCGCTAGACGTTCCTACTGTCTGAACGCTTACGCGAGCTGTCTACGAGACTGCGAGTGCATGCTGGCGCTTCCTGCGAGTTTCTATGACGACTCCGCGGAAAACGTCAAGTACTTTGTGCAGCGTAGAAAAGAGTGCCTGCAGCTAGAACGGGAATGCTCCCGGAAATTGGAGGGGAACGCGTCTTTCAGGAAACACCGCGGAAGGACGTCCTATTCCTCTTCCTCTTCTTTGTCGCTTGGAAAACGAATCGCCGCGATGCCCGTCGTCGACGGCAAGCCGCACGATTGCCTCGCGAGTTGTTCAGATAGCGTCGAACTGCGTCTTGACGAAGCAAGGGGCCGGCATCTCGTAGCTGCAAGAGACATCAGACCGGGTGCTGTACTCATTGTCGATCAGCCGTTTTCCTTTAGCACAGACGGACCGGCTCTCAGCAGGAATTGCTTGTATTGCCATGCCACACTTAAATTAGAAGACAGCGTTAAAATCCCGTGCCGTAATTGTCAAACAGTTAGTAGAGCGCATGATTATATTCGCGCATGCACGTGCCATGTACATATCAGCAATATGCCTGCAAGTTTTTGTTAATTTTTCTTTTTTATGCATCCTCCTGTGCATCCGAATTTACACGTTATTTAGATTCCTTCGATTCCTATAAATTTTTCTTTACATTCTTCAGGTGTCTTTTTGCACGGAAACATGTCGCAAGAAAGCGTGGGAAGCCTATCATCAATACGAATGCTCGGTATTTGATCATTTCTTCGAAAATTCCTCAAACGATAGACGCCAGCAAACGGCGTCTTATCTCTTACTAGCCTATCGTACGACGGTTCTGCAAGCGTTATCGCTACGAGACAACGTGGAAACGAAATGCGTTTTGAATCCTGATTTCTTACGATATCACGCCAGTGATAAAGGTTTCGACGACATCGATAAAGAATACACAAAATCAAAATCGAGACGGATATACAATCCTCTCGATTACCGAACGGTATTCCAGCTGGAGACTCATTGCACCGATGTAGAACCTAATGTGAATCTCATTCGCACGATTCAAGCGATCTTCCTCGCAAAATGCTTGCTCTCCGTTCTGAGTAAATTAGATGTTGAAGACTGTATGAAGGAAATATTTGTTCCATTGGCCGTGGCTATGCTGCATCATTTGCAGGCGATTAATTGCAACGCGTACGAGATTGTTGAGAATGTTCACGAGGAAGTGACGCGCGTTTGGGAACCCAGGAATATCGGCGGTGCGATTTACACCACAGTCAGTCTCGTGAATCATAGCTGCTATCCCAATGTAGTTCGCCATTCTTATCCCAGTGGTAAACAGCCTGAAAAATTGATGATGAAAATGAAGTCTTGATGCAGGAAAAAAAATTTGTATAGCGTTGAGAACAAATTATTTTTTTACAGGAATAGTCGTGGTCAGAGCGTTGCGCTTTATCGGCAAAGGATGCGAGATACTCGATTGCTATGGACCTCAATTCCTCAGCGAGAGTAGAATGGCTAGACGCGAACTTTTATGGAAGAAGTATCGATTTTTATGCGAATGCGACGCTTGCACGCAAGACTGGAAATTTCCGCTGCCCGAGACAATGTATTACAAATGTACAGCGTGTTTCGAACCAACAGATATCTCGGTGATAAATATCAACATTTCGCAGAAGGTGACAAATCAACAATGTACCAAGTGTCAAAAAATGATCGAATTAAAAAAACTCGAGAAACAACTTCGTAAATCGATTCAAAAGAGATTGAACGCTGTCGCTAAAATATATCAGGGAAATTACAAAGATGCGATCCCTTTGCTATTTGAACACGTGTACTTTGTCAATAAACACTTGGTTGAACCTAATATCGAAGGCATCAAAACAGAACAATGTATCGTTCAGTGTTACAATTCTCTCGGCTTGATTTCTGTGTAATAATCTCTGAGTTTGCTTGTAACAGTCACTTATTATAAATAGTTTATTTAAATAATTACTATAAGTGACTGTTACTTAAATAGTAGTGAAATAGTTATTTTTTGTTGTCAGTTTCTTGCTTTTTACATAGCATTGTAAAAAGATGCCATGTATATATTTCGCATAAGAATATACTTTCAGCCACTTTAGAAAAGATTTATAAACATAGAAAAACAGGAAATGTTTATGGCACAATGTTCTTCATTCTTAAGTGCATTATCATTAAAGCAATGCAAGATTTATAATTAAGTAATAAAGAAGCATATAATTTCTGTGCAATAAAAACAATAAAAAAAAAAAAGAAAAAAATTAATATCAAATTATTCCATTTACACACAATAAATCAGGGATATATATATATTAATAATTAGTAGAAAATCGAGCTTAAATCATACAAATCTTGCAAATTAAATAATAATTCGATGTTGTATAAATGCGCATTTTATATTATGATATTATGTGCTTCCTTCATGCTCAATAAAATTAAGTAATGAAATATATCAGGACCATTGCTTCAATGTGATACATATATACCTTACTTGCATGAGAAAAATAAAAATTATGTACAGTGGTCCGTCATATACATTGGTAAAGTACATCCTTTAACTTAGTTCATTAAAACACAGATGTAATACCTAAATTCAACTAGAATCCAGTTAGGCGTTTGATTACCAGATATGCGTTTCCCTAATTTCGCTAATGATGTGACCGGCTTGAGTTAATGCCTGTGAAGTAAAAATAACTGTTAAAAATCAAAATTCTAACCAAAAATTCATGTAATGTTTGTAATTACTTATGTAATGCTTGAAATAATACCTTAAGCATGTCTGCTGTTTCTTTACGTCTGACAGCAATGTGCTCGCTTTCGACTAACAAGGCCTCAGCCTGATCCGATTTATACAAATGTGTAACAAGTTCACTTTGTAAATTATCTTTTACATAGTTGACTAGAAAATGCATAACAGCTTTTGGTACACTATCCTGAATAGACTTTCGTACAATATAAAAGTATGATCTTATAAGCCTTTCTGTAAATGGAACCACAATAAAAGTGATTAAAAGGTAAAAATTAAAATTTCCTCATGTATATAAAAAGATTAAAATTTCTGTTGTTATATAACATGTAATACAATATACATCTGCTTACCAATAATATCACAGTCCCGTTGTTCACGTTCGCTAAGCTTTCGGGATGTCTGTATTGGCACCGCAGGGAGTAGGTTTACTGGTTTTTGTTGCGGAGTTGATGCTTTCTGTATTTCAATCGCTGGATTCGGATGCGGAGAATTACTATTTTCACGCATTCTGACCGGAGAGCCATCCATCGAACTAGTCGACTCCGTTTTTCCCTGGAGCAGCAAATTACTTAGCAGCCAATGATTTTGTTGTCCTTGTTGTTCCTTAGTCTGATCAGAAACAGAATTCTTATCTTGATTATTGACTGATTTTTTTACAATCTGTTACAAATATATTTCACTATTAATTGCACAAAAATACACTACAAAAATTAGAAATGATGTGATTGAAATAATAAAACTTGATAAACGATATGCGAATATTGTCATCTGGATTTAAATCATTGTTAGACTGAACAGAAAACTTTACGATAATATTAATTGTACACACAAAAACAATAAAATTTCAGAAATAACAACATGAATTAAATGAAAATTACTTACTGTGTCATTAGTGATTATAGTATTGGATGCAGAAGCTAATCGTTTGTTGTGCTTTAGGTGATCTACATCAGCGTCCTTCAATAAAGATGATACAAATGCTGCATCTTTATGAAAATCGGGATGCTTAGTATTAATATACGCCAATTCTATCGCCACCAAGTTCTCTACCTTTTATCAAGAAATCAAATCATTAAATAAAGTATTAAAAAAACCCATTATGGATGTATAAATATATAAGATATTTTTTGATTTACCATTGAATTGGTATGCGGAAGCCGTCTACGTAGCAATTGTGTAACAACATCGACAATACGTTCGTGCAATTTAGGGAAACGTAACATCTCCTGTTGCACCTCGGTGCCACAATGTTGTATTATACTTTGCATTTCTTCGTGCACGAGTTCTACGCATCGTAACGAAGGCTCCTCCAATTTTCGTATTTGTCGTTTGACTAGCAACTCAAAGGAAACTTCTGGCACAAAAAGAGCCGGTCTCGGACCGGTTGCATTGCGAATAGCGGTTAGTATGTCCATTTTACTGAGATCCGCCAGCGGATTAATCGAATCGAGTGTTTTGCCAAATGTTTCATGAAATATATAGCAGATACGAGCGCCGCCACATAGCTCTGTGGTTTCTATGTTTCTAGCGGTACCTTCTATTGTAGCGCAATAACTGTTTGCAAATTTCGTGATTATTTGCAGCAAGGTTTGGCTCTTATCCTCGACGTCTCCACCATAGGAATTGAATAAGGTTTGATATTGCGCGATCATTGTATTCACTCTGTTCTGTTTTCAAAAAACACAAGTTCTACCAAATTATGCTCATTTTTAGTAGATTCTACACTAGCTATACTAGTCGTAATTTTCAACAAATTAACATTATTACCTTTAATTCTGGTAAACACTCCCTGATATGTTGCATAAGTAAACGATTAAGCGTCTTGGCCAAGTAAGGAGTTCCATTTCTACTTGCCAATGTTGGATATCTCTGTTGCAAGAATGCGGCTTCATTTTTTAGCGCTTCCTTAATACTCGTATTATCCATTATATCTTGCTGAGAACGATTGACAACGCCTATAATACCAAGTTTAACCGGGATGACTCTACCACATAGAATATCTATGGCATCGGTTCCTAAAAAAGAAGGAAGAGAAAATATATCTAATTAACAGTTAATACTATGTTTGCGGCAAAATTTAGGACTGTAAAAAATGAAACTTACCTCGATCCATAAGATCTAATTTTGTAACAACAGCTAACGTTCGTCTGCCATCTGGATCAACATCTTTACTTAACTTCAAGCTCTCACTTGTAGCCATATCGGTATTGGCAGTGACGACTGCTAAGATTATAGAGTTAGGATTACATATGTATTTCAATACAAGTTCATGGATTTGCCCTTCAATATCCTCTGGTTGATCGCCTACTGGTACCTTTGTGATACCAGGTAAATCTATAAGTGTCAGATTAACAACTGATGTTGAGTATATTTTAAGATTAATCGGTTCTGGACAAATGCCTTTATTTGCACCAGCCATTCTGTCAGTTTCGGCTTCAATTTCTGAACGAATATCGTCAAAATCTTTGTAGATTCTGTTCTTTGTGTGTAAAAACATTCCCCATTCGTCCAAGTCCAGAGTACCGTTGTCTGCGCTTCTATGTTCTCGATCATCCTTTGGCGAATACACAAGCTGTAATATTAACGGGCGTCGCGTGACAATACCAGTTCCCCGAGGTAAAAAGGAACGTCCTACCAAGCTCTCTATTACAGATGATTTTCCAGAGCTCTGCAAAAAATACATTTGTTATTACATTATGAAAAATGCCTATTAATAATAATAAGTTATTTCACTTGAATCTCTTTTCCAAAGCAAACTCTGAAAACTCATTTAGAAATCAAGATTTTGAGAGTTTGATAAAAATTTATATATAAATTATAAATAATAGATTATAAATAAATTTATATATACTTTTCATCGTTTAATTGATTGCGAAAAAATAAACTATAATACTCCTACTATTATATCAAGACAACTACGATATCGCCTTCCTCAGCTATGACATTCGTAAATAATTTTATAATGTAACAGACTATATAATTCGTGAAAAAAATTTAAACGTCTGCAAATCCAACGATCCATGAATGACACCTCGATTTGTTCCTTCCACCCTGCAAACTCCTCTCTTACTCGAAGCATGCATTTATTTCATTTTGACAACAAAGAGCATTCGAATGAGAGGAACAGACCTGCTGCTTATTATCTATCCAAGATAAGAGAAAGGCTCGACTAACCTGCGTACCCAGCACGACGATTTGCGGCAACTGTAACACGGTAGCACCGACGGTATTAAACACATCCTGTAGCTTGTTTATCACAGGTATGAGAGCCTCCATGCTGGAAACAGGTGGACGGGTGCCTAGGAGAAGACGAATCGATGGAGAACGACAATCAATCGGTCGGTTAGGAATGAAGCCGGGTCCGACAACTCGCTCCTCTCGAATCGTCTCGGTTTAGCCGCGGATCTCTACGATGACGTTTTACTACCGTTTCGATGCAGATTGTTCCGTGACAGCTGTAGAAGATTAACAGCGTCGAATCTGACGCGTGAGATCGACGTCGAAGAGAAAAGTTGCAACCTTTTGTTCCGAGTCACCACCGAAATAACGCACACTTGGACTCTTCACCCCTACTCACCCTCTCCACTGCTTTTCACGCTCCATCCCGCGCGCGCGTGCGCGCTCTCGATTGTGTCGGGAAGCGTGCCCGTGCCCATGTACGAGACATAGACGCACACACACGCGCACGTTACGTGTGTACGTGACGTAGAATCGCGTATGTACAAGAGACACGTAAGTAAGACTATTGTTTCCACTCTCGCTTTGTATTCGAACCGTTTTACCCAGGTAGAACCTCATCCAGGTATGAAACTCATAATGACATCATTGTGACGTCATCATGATTTTATTTATCATTTAAAAGTTACCTAAACAAAAATGATTAAAAAATGAGCTAAAGATGACAAAAAGAATCATACATTTTTAAGTTCAATAATAATCGCATTATATAATTTTAAAAAGATTATATTGCTTAAATATAATAATTAAAGTATATATAAATATTTAAATAAACAAGTAATTGCGTAATGTATATAAAAAATGATATTATTATGATTGATTCTTCTTTCATACGCGAGGTATATATATTCTCCAACAGAGTTCGCTAGAATTGTTTAATATCAAAAATAAGTCACCGAACATTGCCAAAAGTATATCAAATGAGATCATTATGATTTTTCTAAAATGACTTTTTAGGTGACGTTATAATGGTGTCATTATGAGTTTCATGGAAAAAAATTATTTCTATTTATACAACTTTAATCTTTTTCTTCTCAAATCTGTTGAAACATATATGTATTAGCACGGTTAGTATACCTATTGGCGCGTATTCATACATTGGCGCCTTTTTTGGCGCTAAAAACGGCGCCGTTTATTTCCGAATTCTCCTCTTCTCTTTGTGTACGTGGAAGCGCGAGGATGGACGAGAGATTCACGTTTATTAAATCAATCTGCAAATATATCACGGCTCATGAGGTATGTGTATATTCATCGAAATTTAATCTGTGTCAGCGTTTTCAAAACGAGCGGATTGTTTGACTCTGACGGCTTTATTGTCCTGTTTTTTGTTTTTTCGTATAGTGCACAACTCATTCTTCCTCTTCCTCCGCGCGATCGTTACATAATTAATATTTCTACATAGATATCGTTGACAATTTGGGACACATTCATACGTGTATATATATGTAATAAATGTATGTATCTATCGTTCAAATTATGTAATCGTACAGGTTCGAAATCTTTGGAATCATCTATGATTCGATAGATTGGGCAATATTTTCGCGATTATATGTAACGGCAATTATTTTCAGATATATCGATCACGTAATTCATAAAAAAAACTAGAGAAATATGAGAGTTTTTGTAGAAAGTTATCTAAAATCGCAATCATGAAACAATTTTTCTATACGAAAACTTGTATAAATTTTTTCATAAAGTATTTTCAAATATAAAAATGTTTAAAAAAAACTATAATATAATGTATATCAGAATATATGCAAGAATTATATCAAAATAAATGGTGTATGTCACGTCACAACGTTTCTATGAAAATGATGCGATTTTATTAATAATATATATATTTTCATTCTATACATGTGTTATTAAAATGTGAAAATTAATTTCGATATTTTCTTTCTCTCTCTCTCTCTCTTTCTCTCTCTCTATAAAGAAGGAGATTAGAAAAATTTAATTTTTTTCACGACAAGGCACCATATATTATTGTATATTATTGCATGTCAGTGATAAATTTATTCAAATCTAGCGGGTTATGACGTCATATTAGGTATGTTCGGGAATCCTATTCGTGGGTAAAGTATCGTTTAATGGCTAATCGGGACAAGAGAATTTCTTTCTCCCGATTGGTCAGTTAAGCGTTATTTTTATCATGAGTAGAATTTTTGAACGCACTCGATATTTCGGTTTGAAATACAAGACTGTAGATGACGTTGATGATGTTAGAAATTTCAAAACAACAAAAGTCGTGTAGTTTATCAATCACGTGTAAAACAGTTCAAAAAAATCTTGCCCAAATAACACATGCTCCAACAAGAAAATATAGAGACTGTATTGTGTTCCTAAAGAGATAAATATCCTAAGAGATAAAAGAGAAGGTGAAAAAGACAACGAATTAATTTCATATATATAAAAAAAGAAACGGAAATTCCAAACAAGTATTTCAATCTTATTGAATTTGGAATGAAGTTGTGGATAGGAATCAATTTTTAAAATTTTTAATTGCTTTAAATAAATCCACTGTAAATATGTAAGTAAATAAAAATTGCACGATAGTAGACAAGTGTTATAAAGAAAATATTAGCGTAATTAGATAATTCTATTTAAATAAGTTTGGTTTTCAGCTCTTACATTCCAGCTGCAATATAATTTTCATTATCATTATTATATCCAATCTCAAGTACTCTGGCGAGAATTTCAATACAATGAATTTACCACGAGTGTACTTTGACATATCTGCAGATGATAAGCCATTGGGACAAATTATAATACAATTACGTCCTGATGTTGTACCAAAGACAGCAGAAAATTTTCGTGCGCTATGCACAGGAGAAAAAGGCTACAGTTATAAAGGAAGTTATTTTCATCGTGTTATTCCCAATTTCATGTGTCAAGGTGGTGATTTTACTCATCACAATGGTACAGGTGGTAAATCAATTTATGGTGAAAAATTCGAAGATGAAAGTTTTGAACTCAAACATACTGGAGGAGGTATATTATCGATGGCAAATTCTGGTCCAAACACAAATGGCTCACAATTTTTCATCACTACTATAAAAACGCCTTGGCTGGACAATAAACACGTCGTATTTGGCAATGTTATCGAAGGAATGGACATTGTAAAAAAAATTGAAAGTTATGGTTCTTCAACTGGTAAAACATATCAAAAAATTATGATAGTAGATTGTGGTCAATTATCTTAAACAGTATAAGCTAAAAGTTTATAAATTTATAAAATAAATTTAAAAAAATATCATTTATACGTTTATAATTTTATGCAATTTATAGTTGTATGTTTCAAAGAAATAAATAATTGAAGTCTTTATTTGCTAATAAAAACATTACATATATGTACGCATATATATATATTGTATGTATACATGTGTCGACAATAATTATATTTATAATGATCAAGTATATTTTTGATAATGGGACTATTTTATATCTTTCTTATTTCATTTATAATATTCGAGAATTACGATATATTTATATATGTATATTGCAATCTACGTTTTAAAAATGTGACATTTTCCCAATAAAACTGATGAATATATCTCTATATGTATATATATGTGTGTGTACATGTATGTACACATAGTAATATATAAACAGACTTGTCTAAAGAATTAGATTGCTATTAATGATTTAAATATATAAAAGATAGAAAGTAATAAGAATAAGTATATAAATATTTGATTATATTATATATATATAATTATCATTTTTATGAATATAATTGTCATCTTTATGACTTAATTTTTATGAATATTATTCTATATTCTTATTTTTATAAATATATGTAATATAGATAAACTTGTGGTATACTATTTTACTTATAGTATACCTTTTTTTTAATTTGATACATTAATTAAAACTTTTATACAACTTTCATATTCAGATATATATATGTTTTTGATTTTTATACAAAAATTGTACAAACGTTTTAAGTAAAATGTGTGCATATAGATTCACATAGATATTTACAAAATATAAATATTACATATGAATAAGATTGATATATTTTCTACTCGATACATATCGGTAAATTAACGATAAAGAATGTATTGAGTTCTATAACGGATGCGAATACCAAAAATACGATGTACATTACAAAACAGATAATCCCGACTGTTCGATTTAATTTAAATCTGTTAATAAGTAAAGCTCCATATAAGACGATTAACGTAGAAAAGAGAGATACAGAACTGTAAACTAATCCTTGAGAATTGATCTGAACGTAATATTGCCCGGGTATTTTCGGCAATAGCGTAGATTTGATAAACCATGGCAATCCGAGACACAATAATATATCAAATACGTTTGATCCGATCGAATTACTTATTCCCATAGCTCCGAGACCTGTAAAGGATTTTTAGTATTCATATACAAAGTATTCTTATATAATAGTAAGTATTCTTATACATAAAATATAGGACAAGATATAAAGAAATCTCCATATATTTCTAACGTTATAATTTAATAGAGTCAGAATACCTTGATTTGTAACGATAACACTTGAAACTGCTTCAGGTACGCTCATTCCCGCAGCGAGAAACGTCAAGCCCATAATAGAATCAGGAATTCTAAAAGTATTACCTGAAACATACATAAACGTGATATGGATCACTTTAAATAATACAAACATCTGAAAGATGTTTAGGAAATTTTTACACACATTTCTACACAAACACACTATCCTTTTAATGTTTTAATGTAACACGTTATTACATAAAGCACAAATTTCATACTTCAACATTTTAAATATATTTCGTGAAATCTTTATTGTGATGGAGCGATTTAAATAAAATATATATTAAATATATATTTAATATATTCATACAATTAAATATATATTTAATATATTCATACAATGAAGAAGCAGTATGAGATGACTTACCGATAACAGTAATGACCCATCCAATAATGTAGGATGCAGTCGCGATCCATATTACACACATAAGAAACGTAAAGGGATATAAGAATCGTAATTTGCTTCTTCTACAATCGGGAATAGTGATGAGTAATATTAGATTAATGGGCCAAGTGATTATCCACCACATTTTCTGGCATGTTGAATTCGGCCAAGACATCATGTTTACTATATCGACTAAAAGAGAAAATATTTAATGTATATTTTACATTACTGATCTCCGTCTATTTCATAAGTATAACTTTTCAGCATGTATATATGTATATCGTAACAAGATTGTATGAAAATGTTAAGAGGGTGAAATAATATTACAGCCTTATATACATTATTGTAGAATATTATCGCTTATATCGTCTTGTGGTATGTACATACGTGATTCGTCCGGCTCACTCGAACTTGAAAATCCACAAATCTCCGTTTCTTTGACCAAGTCTGTTAGATTTCAAAATGAAAGATAGTGAAATTACATTTCTTACGAGTAAATTACCGCGTATGCAATCCCTGCAAAGAGATGTGTGGTTTAAAATAAATTGACACACACAGGAATTTATTCTGTGAGATTAAATTTTTTTTTCTTAATCTACGAAATTAGACTTTAAATATATTTTTGCCGATTCTTTTATATTCACTTTATACATCAAGCAATATTTTTTATTGAGAAGAGAAATTAATGAATATCAGGAGTACAATCTCTAACTTCTAAAGATTAAAAATTTGTAATTCCACAGAATAAAATTGTATCAATTTCTTTTAATTCACTTATTTTTGCAGAGGCGATAACAATCAATTGTATTACAGATGTCTTACTATTTGATAGAAGTAGAGGGCTCTCTTCGCAGATATTTTTATATTTTTTCCTTTTAGATGTTACTCGATTTATGAAATTATTGATACGACGATTGAAACACATTGCTGAAAAGCATGAGCGATTATTTTTATTATTAAATTTATAATTTTGATTATTAATTATTCTATATTGTAGTATATTGTAATCGCGGCAAACAATTCGATTAGTTACTTGCTATTAAAACTCATTTTGTCAAAAAAAATCTCGCCCTATCTAAATCTATAAAAATATCATCTTTTTTAAAACAAATTAACAAAATAACTAAAATATAGTTTGAATTTGGGGCAACATTGAAAATCCGTAATTTTCCAGATTTGTGTATAAAAAGAAATTTTAATTTACGTTCTTTCCGAAATTTATTATAACACTAATATATACACTAATATATTACCTGTTATATACAGAATATAACAAGTGATGAGGATGAGCGCCTCGTACCACTCGATACGTTCATCTCGCAGAGTCAAGATCAAGAGGAGAACCGTCACAGCGTATGCCAGCGTATCGCGCGACACGGGCCACCATTCCAAATTTAGCACCTATAGATACGATAAGGATTAAGTGTACAAGAAGAAGGATAGAGAAAGAATCGCAAAATTGCATGAAAATGTATACAACACACACGTACTTTATTCGCAAATAATGCGCAACACGCAGGTACTGCTAATATATTGAATACCGCGGAACCGACGATAGCGCCTACTCCCAAATCACCTTCCGTCACGAAGGTACCAATGGCGTTGATGAACAATTCCGGACTCGAACTCGCAGCCGCCATCACGGTCGCACCAGCCACATCCTCGGTGACATTAAGACCTGCCAAGAGATTTCGTTCGTTTTATTTTAACAGCTTTGTTTTCTCGTGCGAAAGATGAAGAGAGAAGGCGAAAAACCGAACAAAAAATAATAATATTAATATAAAATACAACAGGATATGTTCATTATACGTGAAAATACGGTCAAGTCTGGACAGTAGTCCTTCAGTTATATGTACTCACGCTCGCAAATTTTCTTAATAGAGGGAACGAAATAATCGTCGCAGACAATAGCAAGTAATAAAAACAGATAGATAGCGATGACGAAGTGGATTATTATAAATCCTGCCTGTCTTTGCTCCCGCGTAAATCCGTCGGGCGGGAATTCTTTGATTGCCGGCGGCGTGCAGTTGTAACTATCGTTCCCTTGTTGTTTCAACTCGCTCGCCTGTAGCAATTTACGTCCTTCTAGAAAAATAGCATCGCAACCATTTTAAGCAAAAATGTGAAGGAAAAAAATGAGAAATTGGATTCTCTAGAAAAACATTTTATTCCGACGACAATGTCAAAATAGAATTTCTCATTCATTCTAAAATGCGTAAGAAAGGAGAAAAATATTTGTATTATACTCTATATACTCACGCCAATTCGTTTCGTAGCCGATTGTAGACGAACTGTCAGAGAACAGTCCCATTATACTGATGTAAAAAAAGTACGTAGCTGGTATAGTAATAACGAGAAATATCCGGTATCCGACCGTCTGTCTGTGCCGCCATACCATTCTTCGTTATGTAAGAACGTGCGACGAGGGTGATTTTTCGGGTGATTTTTACAAAGCGAAATATGCAAAGTGATTGGTCTCTTGACGTTTTTGCGACGCGATGCGACACGCAATGATTATCTGCCGTTTATCCGATACTTAGAGTTCGACCACACGTTTATATTTTTCATTCGTGAAAGACTTATCGCACTTACTTAAGTGATATTGATAAGATACTACGCAAAGTAATCGTCTGTCCCTTCGTTTTAAGCACGCGGAAAATTTCTGATTTTCATGGACACAAACATGTATTTCCATCCCTCGAATCTTTCCATTTCAGCGTCAATTTATTTAGAGTTGTTAGATTTATACAGCGATTTATATTCCCGACGAATTTACATCATTACTTCCCATTTTAAGTTTATCATCTCATCACGTTATAGGAAAGCTATCTTGAATCTTGAGTCTTATGTGTTGATACTTGCATATTTCGACCAATAAAAATTTATTTATTTATTTTAAATGTATTGTACAATGTATGATTTGATATTACGTATTATAAATGATCCATATTTTTGAGATTGAGATGAATCACACAAATTTTTCAATCTGATTAGAAAAATCTCATCTCATGTCTAAGCTTTCTCATATCTGTTTGGAAACATTTTTTATGACACTAAAATGTCAACAGTTATGAAGAGTCAAGTTATGCAATTAAATTGAAACAGATTGAAAAACATTTTGACCTTTGTATATTTTTATGATAAAAATTATAGAATGTATATATATATATATATATATATATATATATATATATATATATATATATGCAAATCTTTAATCTTAAGTATTAAAGATAATATTATTTGAGAATTAAGTACACTAGCAGTAAATTATTTGTGATAATTGTTAAATTTAGAATATTTTCAAATCAAATTGATGCAAAGTTTATTTTATTAAAAATTAAAATAAACATATCTTTTTAATTATTTTTATTATTAAAATTAAATCCTATATTAAATATAAATATTTTTATTAAAATGTGACACGCTGATAGTTGAATCATGATTAACATAAGCAATATTCACATAATTGCAAAAAAAATTTGCAATTATGTGAATATTGCTTATGTTAATGCATGCATTAATTCCGAAACAAGATGCATCGATGCAGATGTAGAGACACATGCTATCAACGTAGACAGCAGAGCGGTTTAGTGCGTCTGTACTAGGCAAATTGATGCACGCTTGTGTATGAGTATGCATAACATGGTATAAACTTGACAGAAGACTCTACTTTAACTGGTTTTAAGCCTTAGTTCTTAGCTAGAAGGAGAGATCACTTGCACATCTATTTTATTAATTAAAAGAAACTAATGTTTATTATTTTATTATGATCATTATGAAAATAATAATAATTACTCGATAAGAGTCCTCTATTGTGATAAGTTTTCTTTCAAAATTTTTAAAAGAAATTTGGTAAGAGGAAATCTCTTTCGAATTAAAAAAAAATTATAAATTATGCAATAGTAATTAATTATTTTAACATTACATTTTCATATTGAGATTTATAATCGCGTGAAAAATTATTAAGGCTGCTAAGAATGTCGATCTGTTAATCGCTAATAGTGTTTTTAAATATTTTTCCTTCTAGCATACATGTCTCAGAAATTTGTGAAAATGAGCGTCTAGTTGTAAAATTTTATTTTAAAACTTGTGCAAAATTTTATTAAAATTTATCTATTTTTTTTCGCTGACAAAGCATCGATATCGCGATTGTTTGGAGATGATGCATAATGTTACAATATGTATCGTTGTTTCACTGTAAATTTCGGAACTCTGCGGACTTAAAGCTACATGCGGTACAATTTAGCAACAGGCGCTACGTGCGAGAGAAGAGATAGAGGGAGGGGCGATTCCAACAAACGATGTCGGACTTCGGAGTAGATGTTAATGTAGTATGTGTGTGACAACGGGATTGACAACATGGATACGACTGACCTAGGAGGAGGTGTGTTTGAATCTTATTTTCAATAATATCACCGAGACCGCGACCGTGTTTCGAAACAGTTTCGAAGAGAGGATGGTGTGAACCGTGCACGGGGAAATATGTCGATTAGGAGAAACGGAAACAGGCGACGAGATGAGCGGAAAAAATTGGAGAGCCGAAAAAAAGGGTCGGAAAAAATACGTGCTTTTATATATAAAGTGCTTTTGATTGGCCTGTTTACTTGACACTTTGCGTTTCTCCGCGAATGCAAGAGTTACCTTGTGAAAACGGGGAATGTGCGAATACGGTAGGATATGTTTCGTTGTACGCGTTGGTTTGGTGTCAATTATTTTTATCGCGATAAACAGCGACCGATGGTGAAGAAAGTGTTCCCTGAAACAAATTATACAAATCCTTTATAGCGTTTGCAATATTCGTGACATTATATATAAAATCAGTAGGAAATCTTTAGACATTATAAATGTGAAATTTGCTTCTTCTTTTCTTTTTTCGCCTCTCTCTACCGAAATTATTTATTTGCCTCTTCCCTCTGATTTTTCTCTCTTTCGTTGCACCTTAATAATCATACTGCTTGAAGAGATATTTCACATTTAAAGTTAAAGACTTTTTTTCATTTTGTTCAATTTCGTTTAATTTGAGAATAATTATCCGCAAAAGTACTCCTTTCTTACTTTTCTTTTTCCACTTTCTTTCTTCTAGAATTTTGATATTATTTTGCTTATATAAATAATAGAGTTCTACATCTTCAAATAATCGTTATACATATTACTTGTCTACAAACAAAAATTATGTATTTATGTATATCACAAATTTGTGAATCTGCGAAAGAGAAAAAAAGAGAATCCTTACATAAGTTCGAGTTAGATATATACATTCAGACACATGTATAATAAATTTTTTTTTCATAAGTTGCAAACTATAAAATTAACGGTCTAGTTTTAACCAATGCATTTGTGAAAACAAATGGCATTTTCAAATACATACATATATTTTAAAAAATAAATATTTTTTACAGATAAAATATTTTCTCATATGTATATTGTTTTTCTTTCATTATATAATATTCTTTTAATTATTTATTCATAAACTCACAAACAATTTATTATTCAATTTAAAAGTCACACATAATGTGGAATAATTACGATTCTCAAATGAATTTGTTTACGTATTATAAATAAATAAAATATCATATCCCGAATATAACATTTCTTATTATCTTAAGAGCTCTTTTTTAACATGCTTAAAAAGCAGTGCTAGATGTAGGGAGATGAATAACTTTCTGCGTGCACAAGCTACTACAGTACATTTTGCTTATATTAAAATGTCACATATAGCGTAGCACGACAAAATTTTAATATCGCCAACAAAACTCGCATTTCATATTTAATTTATTAATACATTATAGATTGAACACGTTAACGTACTAATAGACTATCCTTGTCGTTAACAAGATAATTATATCCTGACTAAGGTGCAAAGATAAGTTCTCGACAGTCCGGATATATGAAATGCTATCAATATGATTAAAAATTGTCATCTTCTGTTAAAGATACATCAAATCACTTACACAATTGAGAAGCGATGATAAAATTAATTACTCTATTCAAATATCTAAAAGAGAAGTTGTCAATTTCTTCCAAACGTTCTCTCTAGACATCTTTTAAGCCGAGATCTCGACCGAAGATCTTTATCAATGGCATATTAACAGCCACATGCGATGTAGACGTAGAAGTTTACCTCTACACTATACTCGCGTTAGACGAAGCATCCGCTTTCGTTGCGGGCAGTTACGTTGACCTTTAATAAGAACAACGCAGGGGATGGTGAAGCGTTAATTAAAGTTAACCGGTAAGAATCTTGAGACGAGATAACATGGGTGACTTGAAGCGATCTAAAGATAATTAAACATCGTCAATTATGAGATAAGATTAATGACAATTAATGAAAATTACGCTCATTCGTCTTTTATTATCCTAACGCATCGTGTCGTCCTTTGTCACTCACTTGTCATGATTATTATCAATCACGTGTTCAGGCAAATTTACATATAAAATAAATAAATCATAGTTTAGAGGAAAAGTTACATTTTATGAGCAATCTTGCATTTCATGTTAAATAAAAAAAGAAAACTTTTTTAAATTTATTATTATTCCATGGGAGAGAAAAACTTTTTTATGTTACGATAGGTTTAAATCTTGACCGTTTGCAATTGATTATAGAATAGATCTTTTACTTTCAATCGAGTGTATGTCTCGTGAAAACATTCTTTCTCTCTCTCCCCCTCTCTCTCTCTCCCTCTCTCTCTCAAATCGGATTAATCTTCAATTTTTTCGAGATTATTTAAAATTGCAGTGACTAGTTTGAAAATTATATATATATATATATATATATATATATATATATAACGTTTATTAATACTCAATAAAAGCATAATTCAATATTTTTCCCCGATTGTGGAAATAATGTAGCATATTAATTTGATAGAATTTATAGGCAGTGTCTAATAAAATCAACCTAATCAAAATTCAGAATTCGGCAATAATTTAAATGTGAAAAACGACACATGAGCGACATTTATTAGGTGCTTTACTTTTCTTTCAAAATTATGTTTTTCAGATTTAAATTATCGCCGAATTTTGACACATTTGATTAGTTTGATTTTATTAGATTTGCCTGTAAATTTTATTAATTTAATATTCTACGTTATTTTACAATCGAAAAAAACATTAAATTATACTTTTATTGAGTATTAATAAGCGGTATATATTAATAAAAGTATAATTTAGTGTTTATTTTATAATTTTATATATATATATATATATATATATATATATATGTAATTATTTTCCCTAGCATTCTTGATGTAACATTTTAACATTTTTACAGATGTTCTATTCACAATTTTGACACAATTTACAATTAAATTATTTTATATTAGAATCATAAAATTATTCTAATATTTTATCATATTAATAATTTATTTATGTAAGGCGAAAAAAACAATTTTATTATTTATTAAACAAATTAAATATATTGCTAGAAAATTTCAGTACTCAAGAAAAATTCAATCAAATATTTTTCGATTGCACATTTAAATTTAAATATTTATATAAATTGTTGAATATAAATCTCTTCGATATGTGAAGACAAATTAAAAATGATAAAATTCAATATTCAGGAGAAATTCTATCAAATATTTTTCGATTGTTCATTCAAATTTAAATATTTATATAAATTGTTGAATATAAATCTCTGATATGTGAAGACAAATTAAAAATAATAAAATTCAGTATTGCAAATATCAAGATAAAAAAAATTTTTGAATTTGTGTTTAAATTTATATAGTATATTTTTTAAAATAGACTTTATTTCGAATTTTTGTAAAAATTCGTAGTATAGTATATAGAAGATGTTTTCATGATTCATACGAATCCAATGTTAAATTGATGATTACATGGTGAATCCAATATACGGTAATCGCCGCGAAGCAAATAGTAAAGGAGACTAGGATTAATTATCCCTTGTTTTTTCTTTTTTTCTTTTTTTTCATTAAACTGTGTTATCCATCGGCTACCGTCTGCCGGCAACCGGCGACGGTCTCGCACCGCGCCCTTCCGACCGAACGAATCGCCGGAGTACCCGAGTCGTTGAGTCGTCCGTGATATATCTACGTTTATACGACGTACATTAGACATGAATGGCATCTGTTCTGCCAAGTTGAATGAGAGCAATTTAACTTCTTTAGGTTGCTTAATCGGTAGGAAGTCACATCCAGTCACATAGCGGTATGAAACCTGTAAGAGGCACCAATACGCGCGCGCCCGATCGTATTTTCGTGTGTCTCCCACTCACGGGGTAAAATACGAGAGAGAGAGAGAGAGAGGGAGAGAGAGAGAAATTATATAAAACATAAAAGTGTAAAATATAAAAACGCGAGAAAGACTCCAGTGTCGCGATGTCGTTTTAAATGACGATGGCGGCAATTAGTTAATCCAGTACGAACATATATGTACCACTAATAATTAATCTTTCAAGAGATAATTTAAATTGGGCATTATATAATATACAGTAATCCGATAATAATCAGATAGATAAGTGATAAGTTTCATATATTTTCTTACTATAAACGACTTTTGCGATGTGTCTTAATTTGCTATATTTATAATTATCATTTAGTAGCGTGCTTTTTAATAATTTACCGTTCTTTTATTGGCTAATTGATGAATAATTGCTTTTGATTCTCAATTATGAACAAATTACATGATAAAATAACCGTGAAATAAATTAATATGATTGGTAAAATTTGTCAGCTTGCCAAGGAAGTCCAAATATACATGAAAAATTCTAATTAGAAGGACACATCATTAGAGTTAAATTGAAGCTAACTCAAATATTGATGTATGTACATATACACAATTAATGTATGTAATACATTTTTAATATACTTTTAATATGAAGAAAATCTCTTTAACATCAAGTTTAGTTAGATACATCTGAAAATATATATTAATATTAAAATCTAAACATTTTTTATCTATACTTAAAAGAATATTTGATAATTATCAACAAGTTCAATGGCAAAATAAATGTGTCTCGTATTTCGATATAAACGTTAAGGAATTCGCCTTTGAAAATTGGACACGAGAGCGTGTTGCTCGATCAATCGCACGTATATTGCAGACGGACCATGTCCCTCCCTCGCTCTCCCTCGCGGCTCTTGCTTGTTTGCCAAAGAATTCGGCACGACACGACGGTTCCATAAAATTGAAGTAATGACGAACGGTAACGAGACGTTTCCTACTTGTGGCGTATCGTTATCTTACCACCACACGATCCGATTTGGACATCGCACACCGTCGTATCGTTCGTGTGTCCGATGCATGCGTGACATTCCGCGTCGTTTCGAGCGGGAACGTTTGTCTATTCGGCGAGTCAATGTACGTGCTGCTCATATACCGATTTCGTAACCGTCGATCTATCTCCTCGTCATCGTCATCGTCGTTGTCGTCGTCGTCGTCATCACAACTCTACTCCCTTTTAGCGCCAGAATGAGCCGCCGACTCTAAAAAGATAATAGTTAACTTTAAGCTCCTCCCTCCGCTCTTATCGTATTAAAGCCACAAACGGTTGCGAAGCTTCGAGGAAAAGCTTCTGCTTTACATTAAAGTAGCAAACACGTAATTGACGTAACATCACGCGAATGTAGCATAACGGAATGCACAAGAGAAATATGACGAAAGAACGGTCGAATTGTCAAAAATCGGAGAATGCAATGCATTTTCGTCTAGGAGTATTTAGTCGCGCTGCGACCTGTAAATAGGAACGAAGGTATTCCGCGATTTAATTAGCACTCACTATACAGTTTTGTACGTACGCGCTTTGCGTATTACACAACGATAAAAACGCATTTCGTCGGATACGAGTGTGCCCTAGGTGCGGTACATCCGGAATCGTCGTATTATGCGATCGCCGGGAATGATACAGGGTGCGGCGAAAATCGTAGATTGCGAGCGACAGGATTCTTCGCGATATCATTTTTAAATTGAGATTGCAGGATAAAATTTCTTCCTGCAAAAGTTTTTCTTCTCGAAAAAAAAAAAATTACTTGGAGAAGAAAATGGGTAAGTATGGGTAAAAAAGGATTTAAAATTTGAATCTTTCGAAATTTTAGCATTCGACTGAGAAAAGAGAACGAAATATCTTTCTATTACCTCTACCGATTATGTAAGATTACCGTTTATTACGCTTACGATATCGAAATAAATTAAGGCACGTCCGTCGTAAGTCAATGCCCCCTGTAGAACGCGACAATTGCATTCGGACGTAGTATAAAATTTCTCTCTGTTAGAAAAGAAAGAATGCCCCGTGCACAAAACTATTTTGTGTATCAATTTAAACTCTCTCGAAAAAATTTCAGACAAATCGACGACGAATGAATAATTATAAGAAAATTTTGAAATTGAGATTTAAACAATCGTGCTGTATTGTATGTGTATTTTGTTTTAAAGGGACGACTTACATTTTTAGGTATAAATTGTACGCCACCGGCTATAGAAGATTTTCCACACGACCTGTTTGATGAGCAAGAGAGACAAGGCGGTGCCGTTGTCGTACACGTCATCGTGTCACTTTACTTATTTATCGCTTTAGCAGTAGTATGCGATAAATTCTTCGTACCTGCTGTAGAAAAAATATGTCACGGTAAGAGGGTTGTATTATAAATATTTTTCTCTTAATCCTATGTCGAGAGAAACATTTATTGAACCAAAGTGCTGGCTGCAAATCACAATCCTATAAGCAAATCTAAAGATCTACGTTAGATCAAAACTGATCATTCTGGCATTCTTACCTCTTACTAATCCCCCGCTCGAGATATGCGACTGTCGAATCAATGCCCATGCTGCAGCATATCTGCGTCACTGCGGGCGCCAGACACGTCTTCATCGGTTACCGTAATTGTTTCTCATTTGGAAACTGGCCTCGCTTGACATTTCTTGAAACAAACACGTACTTCGGAATAGCTTTCAGCGATTTATCGTTAAATGTAACATATGCGAGACATAATGCTTATCATTAAGAAAAAGAATGATTAATTTATATGCATTTCATATAATACTAAATCTCGGGATTATTCATTTAACATTGAACTAGAGATATCTCTGGCAGAAATCTCTGATTATTTTTTTATTTTACTTTTTCAATAGACAGAAAGAAAAATATTTGTTACCAAATTTTTCGTAATGGTTAGCTTTATACGTGTATACGTATATGTGTATGTGAAAAAGAAGTTGAAAGTAAAAAAAATTAAAGTTGACATTGTTTCACTTTAGCACTCTCGATGTCAAAAGACGTAGCCGGTGCGACGTTTATGGCGGCGGCGACATCGGCTCCAGAATTATTCGTGAATGCCATCGGAACATTCATCACGGAAGGTGACATTGGTGTCGGGACGATAGTAGGTTCTGCAGTATTCAACATCCTAGCTGTTCCAGCCTGCTGCGGTATCGGTGCGGGAATGGTAGGTTGCCAAATGTTCTGTATAATTTTTGGAAGAAATACACACACACATATATATATGTATACAGATCTTTTAATTTTCTTTAAACAATTAATAAGTAACATATCGATCATATATTTAAAAATTTATTAAAAAATTAATTTTCCATTTTTCTTCGTCGATATCTTCATCCATTCATAATTATCTAATGTAAGCATAAAATGAAATCGCCAATCATATTATTTTATGCTTAGATAATTATAAACAAATAATATTGAAAACTTTATCGCGATAGATGTAATAAATATAAGATTTTATATAGTAGATGTAATAAATATAAAATTGACATTGATAATGGCAAAGAATCTATATCAACACGTCAAGAAACTTTCAAAAATGTGTCATATCGACATGTAATCAATATTCTTGAAAACACACGCATATACAGTATATTTAATATATACTAAGAATGTATTCGCGTACATATAAATTGCAGTTTGAATTAAATTCAAGGTAAACATATAATGTCTAAAGTTTTTTCAAAATCTTATTTCTATCTGATAATTTTTTTCTCATCGAATACACATAAGATACGTACAACGGTTATTCAGATATGATATTTATGGAAAATATATATCCTCCAGATATACATTATATTAATGAAATATTATATACTATAATTATATTTGTAATAATCCCATAAGCAGGTGGTGCCACTGGATTGGTGGCCTGTTAGCAGAGATTGTCTCGCTTACGGTGTCACCGTCGCCATTTTAATATGCATTATACACGACGAACGAGTGGAATGGTACGAGGCATTAACATTGGTGCTCTTGTATATTGTTTATATCGCTGTGATGTATTGGGATAAATCGTTCCAGCGATGTACAAGATTCCGTACAAACGATGACCAGATATCTTCGGATGGTCGACGAGTTACAACAGGTGAGGCAGTAATTTCGGCAGTTATTTCATTATAGCTTTAATTAAAACATTATTGTCTTCAGATACAGAAACTCTCGTGAGTTATTTTAAAATGAATCGATAAGTGTAAATAAAATCTAACATTTAATTCTGTAGCAATGTTTATTTTTATTTTTAAAATATTTTACGATATTTTTCATCAAATCTTCGTAAAAAAAATTTTTTTTCAATAATTAATCAGATTTTTACACATACAATTGAAAAGAATAAAGTTTGAACAAAGAAGACGAAATATATCTTGATGTTTCGAGATCCCTGCGACTCGAAGGCGCGAGCAAACATATTACGTGTCTTTATAATTTGTAATCCAGACATTGCAACAAAATATGTTTACTTGCTTGAAAAACATGTTTTTTTACAGATTCTAGCGATATTCATTTACCAAGACCGGACAAATTACAATCACCCGGGGATCATGTGGAGCAAATAGCCACTATCGACGTGCCGCTACAAAATGGCGGGACGAAAACGCAGGAAGAGAATCCAGATCCTAGTAAGTCTGTTCGTTCTTTTTTTTTTAATTTTCATAATATTATGAATAAAAGTTTTTTAAAATGAAATATTTGTTATAGAAAAAATGACATTAATAAATATTTACTCTCCTAGTAAAATCTAATCTAATCAGATCGATTTGTTTCATTATCAACTGTATCACTGATACCATCATATATCTGTCAATAATAATATTTTCCGATATTATTTCGAGCAAAAATCATTCGATAGGTCAAGTATAAAGTATTAAGCATGTGCGAATGGAAATTTTCCGAGTAACTGTCATCAAGAGATTAAAAACATCAAATATTAAATTTGACACACCTATCATAAAGCTATTATTCAAATTTTGTATACTTTATGTTATTTTACATAAAATAACATAAAATAAATAATTCAAAATTTTCGGAAAACACGGACGAGGCAATATCTATTTTAAATTTAATATTTTCATAACATGTATGACAGATTATGAGTACGAATTGTTGGTATGGCCAGCGCATGCTGGGTGGTTAAGAAAGACCGCTTGGGTCACAACATGGCCCATTCATCTGGTATTCATGTGCACAATTCCCGACTGCGAGAAACCCCGATTCAAGAATTGGTTTCCCATCACGTTCGTGATGTGCATCATATGGATTGGATCGCTTAGCTATGTTGTAGCGTGGATGATCACTATAATTGGTAAGTAGAAGCATAAATTTAATTTGCAGCTTAGCGATAAACAAATCGAATAAATCGTATACGAGAAAAAGTTTGTTTTATTAGAAATGATTTATTAGAAATAATCCGATATAGTTTTTGTCAAAGATTGACAACACACATTGATTCGATATTGACGAGGAAAAATTTAATGACGAAACATTGTTATTGCGCATACAAAAATATTGAAAAGTTTCAAGAATCAAAAAATAAATTTTAAACTTGCACAAATTTTGTTTTTTTTCCACAGGCGATACACTCAAAATACCAGATTCCGTAATGGGTATCACTTTTCTCGCGGCAGGAACCAGCGTACCCGAAGCTGTATCGAGTGTGATTGTCGCAAAACAAGGTATACATAATTATATACTGCGTTCTATAACAAAAATATACACGTAAAATTAATTCTTCGTAACGAGGGTATATTGCCACCTGCAATTATCAAATTAATATGCTGTGTTAAACATTGAACGAAAATTAATGATTGAATTCAGACTGGAAACAGATGTCGATTTAATGAGAGCGATTAGTAGAAATCTGAAAAGAATGAATTTCATGAAAAAAAAACAGCAATGAGAGTCTCAAAAATAGTTACACTATCTCTTTTCTCTTTTGTAACTCCTCTTATTCGTTTTATTGCTCAGGACATGGCTCGATGGGCATCAGTAATTCTATAGGATCGAATACGTTCGATATACTGCTATGTCTCGGACTACCCTGGCTGATCAAGTCGTCTTTCTCACCCACGCAGCCTGGCAGGCATTACATCAGTATAAATTCCGGTGGTTTGGAATATAGCGCCATATCGTTACTGTCGACGCTGATGTTGCTGTACATCGCGTTTGCCTCCAACAAGTTTCAGCTCGATAGAAAAGTGGGCCGCGCCTGCTTGTGCATGTATGCCGTGTTCCTCATACTGGCGTCATTAATCGAGCTCAACGTATTCTTCACGGTAAATCTCCCCACCTGCCAAAGGACGGTGAAATGATCGAGATACCCCGGACGATGACCCGCCCGCAATACATGTTCGGGCACGGCCTCGCTGTCAATCCGCGCTGGAAACTTTCCCCTTCGGACTTACCGAGAGAGACTCGATCGAGCTAGGGGTGTTTATATTTCCAGCTACACGGAATCACCGTGTGTACAGTTTTAATATCACAATGTTATCACCATGTTTAGAACCATGGCAGTAATGCATTTTGTATTTACTTACTGCTCTCTAAAAAGAATCTCTCTCTCTCTCTCTCTCTCTTTCTCTCTCTTTTATTCTCTCTCTCTCTCTCTCTCTCTCTCTCTCCTTCTTGTTTCTCCGCTCTCTTTTCTTCATTGCAAAAATCCATGCCATTTTTGAGTATGTTACTCGACATCTCTTTGTTCCATTCAACATATACATTTTACTCTCTCACATCTCGATTTTTACTTATATATATATATATATTATGTATGTATAAAACGCGCTCGCGCCAAATTTTTTCCTCTCCTTCACCTTCTCTTTTCTCCTCTTTCTTCGCTTATTTTTCTCTTAAAATACAATTATTTTCTTTACGGCTTTATTGTGTGCGCTGAAACATCAACAAATTTACGATTAGCCACAGCAACGAACCACAGATCTCAAGCCACATGATCGGAAGCTTGCCCAAGAATCTATACGCGTACGTCGAAAAGGTAAAGCCGTTACCGGAACAAAGGCCTTTAAATACACGATTTTTCTAATAATCGTAATTAAGCGACGATAGAGAAGGGATCGAATAAAGGCGCTTCGCGACTGTGTCTAATTGTACGAAAGCGCAAGAAAGACTGCCGTTCCATTAGCATATTGCAGACCTCGATGTGTGACCGCGTGGTACCGTGTTTACGCGAGTGAAATGTCATTTCGCGCGCGCGATTTAGCCGCGACAAGCTGTCTCATTCGTTTACGAATTCGTATCGATCTATCAAAGTGTTGCATCATTTTGATACGCGCAAACTTTACTAATAATTTGCAGTTAAACAATCGCTCGGTGAATTTACCTTTATTTAGTATCTCCGTTGAAAAGAAGAAAAAACTATCATTGGTAATATATATTTGAGGAACGGAGGAAAAATTCTTCCATTACATGATCACGTAGTGATCCTTTACGTCAGTGAAATGTAAAGCGAAACGCATACAGATACGTATTTACATACACGCAAAATCGCATTATAATGTTGAAACAAATCTTCGCGCGCGATAACACCTTTCTGCGATAACACATCTTCACACAAAATGCGAAAACACAAAATCTGTGACTGTAAATTTAGATAAAACCGTAACTTAACATTTAATAAAGTACTGTAATAAGTTATTAAAATAATACAGTCAATAAAAATTGATTCCTCTCCAGTCTCTGTGAATGTATGTATAGGAAGGAAGAGGGTGAAAGGGGTGAAAACCTTGGCTCAGAAATATAAAACTTGCACTGTTTTGTACTGGCGTAAAAAGAAAGAATTGTCTTAAAAAAACAAAAAAAACCGGTTATAAAAATAGTAATTCAAGAAAGATATATGCGATTTTTGACATAATTTTGTATATCTTAATGAAACCTTGAATTGATTTATCTTGGGAATGATGAGATGACATTTAAATCGACAGTATTTATAAAAACGAACGGGCTGGGATATTTATATTTTATCGAGGGAATTTTACGAATAGAGCACGCCTCGTTTTTGTTTCCCGTGCACTATGATATTTTTATTCGTTTACACGAGAAAAATTGAACGAAAGAAGAGCCGATATACATACGTCATATTGAAGCTGACGCTGTTTTTAAAATACACATCAGCATAAGTTGATGTTTTCACGAGACTTTTCTAGAAATATATGTTAGCATATATAAATGCGGTCTTACAGAGAGAGAAGATAAAACTTTTTTATAAAAAAAAAATATATAAAAAAACTAAAATAAAATATAATCTTTTTTGTTTAATTTCATATGGATTTTTTTTAGAGAATTTTAATTTGTGATTATTAAGATATTTAATATTGAAGGTTAAACAATTATTTTAATAAAGGAAGAAAAAAGATAATCTTCGATTGAAATTTTCAATTTACGTCGTCAAAAATTGTAACTTACAGCAGAATATAAAACATACTTTTGTCGACTTGTATATTTCGTAACACAAAATGCTACTACGAATACGAAATGATAAATTTTTTGAAGCTCGAGATTAGATTTTATTTTTAAGAGATTATATTTTATTCAAAAATATTCGCTATCTCTTTACGAAAAACCTCATTTTTTTGTGCAAAATTATTCTTTAATCATGCTACATGTTATTGCCAATCTCTAAAATAAAACTCGCGCTGTATAAGATGCGCTGTTGATGCTTTGATATTTCTGTTATGTAAAGAGATAATGTTCATATTAGCCAAGAATGTGTTCATAAATCTTAACCCGTAGTTATTTCAGTTATACACCGTAGATATTGGCACAATTTTGATAGTCACAAAGATATTAATATCGGAGCTATGTAAGTAGAACGAATAACGCGAGATTTATATCGCGTGTATTGTCAGTGAGATTCTTTTCTTGTTACATATTCACAATCGATTTGTTGTAAGATCAAACGACTTGAGAAATATCCATCATCATCATCAATATCATCACATCCTGTGTATATAAATCGACGATTTTATTTAAAGTCGATGTAGATACGTCTCCTCTCGGATTTTCCCGAAAACTCCGAGCCTTGGCACGGATTCAACGACCGAGTTTACCAGCGAACCTCCCAGTGCGCGTCTGGCTCCTCTCTTCGCAGACTCCGCAATGTATGAAAAGATACGAGTCGGACGGGACGTTGCTAACGCGCTCAACGTATAATTCCCTCCAATATTTTGCGTCGCGAGATCCGCTTGCAGGTACGTACTATACGATTTGCTTTGCGAATGGCACAGATATCACAGCGAACGTCAATGTCATAATTCGTTCGACAGTTCGCGATCAGTTTGAATCTATTGCCATTCGTAGTAAAAATGTACATAGGAGCGCGCGTAATTATCTTTTGGCTGTTTCGGTCTATCTACACACTTTATAACGAATCATTTCATATAATCATCCTCGACGTCGCGCGATATTAACCGCATCCGCGACCGGTGCTGTCAAAGCGCGCGAATTCCCCACGTAACGACCATGTATGCGTGACACACTAACAGCGATGCTTGCGCTAGGTCTAGACTATCACTATTTGAAGAGCAAGTTTCGAGCTAGATTGTTTGCGATGGGTACTACACGTATTTGGTCTCGCGAGATACTCGTTTCGGCGTTACTTTCGTTGCACTATGTAAACCGACAATAATAAAGAGTCGCGTATTTATATAGGTATGTGCGTTCACTTGTGTGTACGTACAATAACTTTAGGCATAATGGTGGTGAGGGGTCAGTTGCGTGTCGGCGCGGCAGATCTGCAATGCGGCGTTGCCGTTGAAACCGTTGATTCACAAAACCCTTCTTCCTACGTTGATTATATACATGTTTCTATGTGTGTGCGTGTGGCGTGTGCGCCCGCGCGCGGGCGCACGCGGTGCAGCGGCACGACGAGAAGGGGAAAGGGAGGGAGGGCGAGGGTGGACAGCACGCGCGCGCCGAATGCGGCTACTCACGTACACATACATGTATTTCAAACACTCTTACACCGCTACACGTATACCACACTAGACGTATACTATTTGGTACTCAACAATAAACTTGTGATTTTTTAAAGGAATTTAAAAATTTTTATTTGCGTCTCTCTTTGCATATGCCATTTTGATCGAGAAGACGGTAAATGCTAATAACGATTTTTGTGACATTAAGATTATTCGAGTCCTCTTTAATGATTTTACATTTGATTTTTGCTACCATCGTTGTTATCATGTGTTTAAAATAAAGGTTTTAAAATATCTTAGTTCATTTAGACTAACACTCGGAAATTGTTTGTTATAATAAAGAGGTATATATATTTTTTTTTAATTTGTGATTCATACTTGGAGACATTTGTTTGTTCAATACATTTAAAAAAAATTAAATGTACAGTATAAATATAACAAAAAAACGGATATCGCAATTGTCGTTCGCCAAGAGAAGACCTGGTGACAATAATGCGCGTGCGTCATCGACAATGCGGAAGAGGCATTTATATAATTTATCTAGAGAATGAAATATTTTAAATTGTATAGGGCGATACAATAATGTGCCAACAAAGACATATGTTTCTAATTTTATAAACAATATATTAAGAATGAAGAATATTAATTTTTCTATTAGTTGTAATTCATCATCGGACAATAAAATCGCAATAATAATAATTTATACGACATTATTAACCTGATCGATATCTAAATTATTCGAAGCGTCTTGATAATGACGTTTGCGATATCATCTTCCAACTGCTCCAAGCATATAAAAGAAAAAGATACAAATATTTCTTTGCTTTCTCTTATCTTTTTAGTTATGCTTATTTACGTAAAAATTGTCACAAAAGTTCCCATACAGCACAGAATATTGGAGCAATATTATTAATATTATTTTAACATTGCAGCAACTTTGCAATATTGCCGCAATATTACTGCAATGTTCTATGCTGTATGGGTTTGTATTCGTGTATCGCTATAAATGAATATATAATAAATACTTTATTATATAAATTCAAAACGATTTCGACTTTTCATCTGTCGCGGGCGATAGAAGTTTGAGTTTTACAGCATGAAACGACGAGTCGCGATTTCGCAGCCCCCGAAAGCGTGAAGGAACAAACAACGTCGTGGGCTAGGATTCGCACACAAACGTCGTAACTCTCGTCATGCGCGTCAAGGTTTCGCGATTTTGCGCGCGCCCGCTTTTTATTGCGCGCGCAGCCACCGCGTGGGGGTGGATCGGCATCATCGGGGAGGGGTTGTGCATCGCCACCGTCCACCATCACCGGGAGAAGGTGAAGATTGCACAGCGGTATCGAGCGGTGTGTGCGTGCGGTATTGCCTACAGGGAGCACAACCACTCGCCATCTCTCTCTCTCTTTTTCTCTTTTTCTTTCCCCTTCTCTCTCTTTCTTTCTCTCTCTCTCCCTGTCTCTCTCTCTCTCCCTCTGCGTGTAATCCCATACGATTCTTACCACTCATGTTTCGTTGGCGATTTGTGTGTATTCCTTTATGAAAGCACGTTACTGCCGCGCCGCGACGGACCGTTATCTCGCGGACGCGTACTTATGCTCCGATCCGAATCACGACTGTCGCCTGATAATGCTCCTTATCGTTGCCGCGCGCGTTACATGACCCGTGATACGCGCGTTACGGGAATCTACGCAACGAGCAGCAGCAACAGCAAGAGCAGCAAGAGTAGCAGCAGCAGCAGCAGCAACAGCAGTAGCAGCTACAAAATCGACGGTGGACGATTCTCGTGACACTGTTGGAGAACGACGGGGTGACCGACGATGGATCGCAAGGCGAAATTGTAGCCCCGTAGCTGTAGTTCGCGATCGGATTGTCATCGCTCCGCTTCGTAATAATATAATAAATACCTCCGTGTCGCCGACACGCTTAGAGATCATATTATACATATCCTTGCTTCATATCGATCATTCGTCCCACTTCGTAGCACTTTTGCATCGTTTTCGATCAAACAAATTCGCTCGAGTTACGCGCGTTAATTGATAAAAACTGTGTCGTCCCTGAACGCGGATTGTGCCGACGACTACGAAAAGCGGTGAAGTTTCTATGCTCTTCAAAAAAAAAGTGGTGCCTAAGAGTGATTACAAAGGGAGAATAAAAAAATTTGTAAATTAGTGCCTACACACTTACGAGCGTGCAATAATCGATGATTCGTCGATTCGCTTACTTATAATCGTAATCTATATACCTTGCGCATTTTAGGATACGATTGCTCCAATGCTTCTTTATCACGCGCCGATTATGTACAACGCCAAAGTGTCAGAGCAAAGAAAAAACGTACAAAACGTGCGGAGAGACGAAAGGAACTAGAGCCGATTAGAACAGAATCAGCTGAATTCGGTAAATATACGTTTCGAAGGATACACGAGGCAAATTGCCGCATTAGGGGTCGAACATACGCATGTACTCGTCGAGAGCTTCATATGCGTGGGACTCCATAATCGGCCCGTTTTCGCGTCCAAGAGTGTATCCGACAGACTGAAAAATCACTTTTACCATTCGCGTTAGTAATGTCGCGATTAATGCTGTGCAATCTTGGCAATGCCTCGACGGCGGGAAATGATACGAACAACAACGCAAACACGAACAGCAGTATGGAGGACGATGATTCTTATCCACTGCCTACAATCTATCGGTATGTAACAGTACAATTTCTCGCCAAAGAGAAATTCTATTAAAAAATCCTTTGACAATCTATCTCGTTAATTTCTGAGAATATAGAAAAATAAATCAAGTGTAATTTATAATGATAAAATTCGTCATGTATATGTCAATCCGTTTTTAATCAATTCAATTATTTTTATATTTCTCTGCGGATACGTATTGCTTGTCATCAAAAATCATTCTATAAATCGATCCTATATCTTTAAGTTTCGTTTTCCTTTTCATTTTTTGTATTCCATTTCGTTTAATGTGCGCTATCTCGCACATCGATACAAGATTCGCCTTGCGAGAGACGAATTAAGTGGGAAAATATTTCGGCGGGGCTCTCTTTATAATTATTAAGCGTGATCAGTTGACAAAGCGATCGGGCCTGCATAATGTCGGGTAGAGTCATCGGTATACACGGTGTATGTATATCGAGTATTCGAGCGAAAAGCGATATTCCCCGACCTGAAACCTATCGTGGCGCGTCGTCGTCCCCGCGCCGGTGACCCACATGCAACGGCGGCGGCGGCGGCGGCGGCGGCGACGGCGGCGAGGTACTCGTGGTGGTAGTTTTAGCTTTTAAAGGGGCACCTACGTAACGTATCTAGATTAACGTTTCCGAAGAAAAGCGTTACTAAGACTACGCTTGTAACACAACCGATTCATTGTTCTAAGCAAAATTCAAACACGAGTAATGCACGATGAAATTGTGTCATTGACGAGTTACATCGATATATTTTCCCCCTTCCACCCCGGCGAATATCAGGAGCGAGTTTGCATTAACGTCACTCTTGAAGCTAACTTTGGCCGTATAAGAGTTTCTCTTCGTCTATATCATGTGTCTGAAGAGGGAGAACATAATTCTCCAGAGTTTTCGAGATGATATAATAGAACTTTGCGTTGGATATTGATAGGCAGCGAATTTTAATTCAAAATGATACGAACATACATATTAAATAATAATTTAGTTTCTGAATTGTGCGTGAAATTATTCGTGTCCGAATTTTGCCTTAAAAGAATCGGATAGTTCTCGTGTTTTTGATTGTAATATTAAGTTGATGTAGTCACGCGCGGGTTTAATATTTCCATATTTGCATGACATGTCAGACAGACGTAACGCTATTTGTGAGGAATATTCATGAACTTTAACTATTCTTCTCTCTCTCTCTCTCTCTCTCTCTCTCTCTCTCTCTTCCTCGCGAGATTTTGACAAAACATGTCACAGATTTGCAAAGTAAATAATAGATCTTGCTGATATTCAGAAGCATTCAAATTCAAGAACACGAGGGAGTTTTAAATAACTCGCTCTCGATTCTGTGGACAATTATTAATATAATTGAAAATTCTCGGAAATTCATGTATGATGGATACACGCGCTGCATCGTGTTGCACGTACACATGCGCGCGCGTAATAAGTAATGCATAACGTGATTAAATGGCGCGACAAGATAGGATCAAAGTAATACGGGTCGTTCCACAACAACTAAGTGTCCCTTTAATCTCAAAAACTATGAACTAAATTAAGATATATAACAGTTGCTTCAAGCATCGATAATTATCGAATTTTAGCAAAATAAATTTTAACGAGACTTGTAAATGTATAGCAAAAGATTATTTGGTTAATTTAAATATGAATTTGTTTAAACGCAAATTTAACTTTACGCTAAAATCGTCTTAAAAAGTTATATGCAAAAAAATTTTCAAAATAAGAAAAAGACACATTTATATTAAATATTATATTAACTTAAAATTATTCCAAGATCGGTAGAAAAAATTGAAAGAAATTAAAGAACGGTCGCTACAAAAATATTCGCTAAGGAGAGAAGTCTCTCTCTAATTTCGGAAATCCGGTGCTTCTGACACATTTTAAGATATCAATCATAATCGATCGTAATCGATGTGGTATACGAGGAAATATACAAGGATACACAAGCGATATCGATACACTCGTGTACTTTGTATGCGCAGCTGCCGTGCACCCATAGCAAGTCTGGATTGCATGGAAGAGTTCAACGGCGGCGGCGGCGGAGGTGGCGGCGGCGTAGGTGCAGACTCGGGCGTGCACTGCAGCAACACGACCGGAACCAAAGAGCAGCTACTAACTAGCTGCATTGCCGCACAAGCGCAACGTTTGCAGCATCCCTCGCCAGGTATTCGCTACCGCAACTTGGGCAAAAGCGGTCTACGTGTTTCCAATGTTGGATTAGGTACGCTGAATGTATTCCCCCCACTTTCGTAGAGTCATTTCTGAGATTCTTCTCTCTCTTGCAAAAGCTTCTCTCCAGCTAACAATATACAGGGTGTCACTTAATTGGCGCCCACTATTTATATAGCGATATTCCTCAGAAAACTAAGTCGAAAAGTCCTGAACCATTTTTTTCCATAATGCTTAATAAAGCGATAATTATTGAATAAAGTTGTGCTAATAAGCACCGATCTTTAGTCTCCCTGACGAAATTTTCTTTAAGGAAACACTTTTAACAAAAGAAACATGATTTTTAATGCAAAATAAAGTTTTTCGCATTATAGAAGAACAAAATGGTTTCAAAAAAAGGTTTCAAATTTTTTTCATTATAGAAAAAAATGAGTCAGGACTTTTCGATTCAGTTTCCCACGAGGAATATCGCTGTATAAATAGTGGACGCCAATTAAGTGACACCCTGTATATAAATGTGTGTGTGTGTGTGTGTGTGTGTGTGTGTGTATGTGTATGTAGAACTATCATTTTTCCGTGTACACGTGTTGCAAATCTTGGAATGCATACATCTCACGCGGCTATCGGATTTTTATTATCTCGACCCAGCTCGCGTCGAGATTGTCAATTTGCGTTTTCGCATTCATTATTTATGTAATATTGTCTTATCACCAACGCACATTTTTTTCATTTCTATCATGTTCTTTGAAAGGAGGACACAGCGAAAAATACTATATATTTTTATAGCTGATTATTTATGTGTGATGGTTGAATCGTATTCACGTGGCTTGCGTAGACAAGATGCGTTGTACATATTATATCTAATAAGCGCCTATCAACTATTTTCTTCCGATGTATAGCAAATTTAAAAAAAAGCCTATCAACTATTTTTTTTTTATTCCGAAATAATGTTGCTGTTATATTAACAGCTCCGTTAAAAATTGAATAATTTTTCTCTATTCTTTAGCATATAATTTACATTTTATTAAATATGAAAACAAATATAATAAACCTTAAAGATATATTTTATCCTTTCAAAGTGATTATTAAAAACGAAAATATTTGAAATTTTTGTACGCTTAAAAACTGCATGCTAATTTAGAAATAAGTTTCTTTTCGCGATGTTTCTTTATAAATTTCTATAGTTTCACAGATTCTTCCGCAAACGCTTCGCTCACTGTTTTTCACATTATTGATTGTTATTTCTTAAACACATAAGCTTTTTCCTTTGCAGCATTTTTATGTAAGCAAGGCCGGCTAAATAGTCTCAACGTGCGAATTTAAAAGCAATTTATTAATAAAGATTCCTTGGACTTAACAACAAATTTAAAGATGCACGCAAGAATGAATTATTTAATTGAATCAACATGAAACATCCTAATTTGACTTATTTATAGACAGATTATCATTATTAATCTCGTTGAAGCTCCGAATATTTTTGGAAAAGCAAAAAAAAATTTAAATTTACTCCGATATGAGCAGCCCTTCATAAATGATTACATATACATGTACAAAACAATACAATTATTATAAAAGCATAGATTTGAGACAAATAAACAATAAGAAAACTGTGAAGTACTCAAACTTAAAATTTATATAAAATATATATAACATTATATATGTGTCGAAAACCAAAATTACTGTTATATTTTTTAGAATATATATAATAAAATCGATTACTGTGGAAATAAACAATTAATTTGCCAAGTAATAAGTGACAAATTAAATATATTATATAAGTACTCAGCCTTTTGCTGCATCATCGGTTAGACATCCTGTTTCTTCTTCTCTCTTGTTCATTCTCTTTTATTCCTCCTTTTAACACTAACTCACGAAGACAATAAAGCATTAATTATGATTACGGATAATTAGCCAAATGATTATCCGACACTTTGCACTCGGCATTCCTGACATTAATCTCATACGCGACGTGCACTTTATTATAATGCGACCGAAAAAAGACATGAATTCGACCGACTTCCTCCAATCGTCGTATTATCCTTTGAGAAGCACGAAATGTACGGAAATTATCAGCAAATGTTAAGCGTGATAATTATTGCAGCATTATCAGTAGTTGTTAGCGATTACCAATCCGCGCAATTAATTAATTTTCTCTATAACAATACGTACAATCATCACAGTGGCAATGATTTGAGAAAATGCATTTCACGTAATATATCCGTTTAAATTAGAAATCGATGCGGCAAGGATAGGGGGATGAGAAATGATAAATTGTTTTATCGCGACATTTACGGGGTTATGATTACATCCATAAATATGTTTGAAGTTATTATACGTCTGATTTTTCCATTTGAGTAAGCATAATTTATTCATCGTTTTTGGATTGAGAAAACGTACTATTTTTATTACTATTACTATTAACCATAATTTGCAACTTCTATCTTTCGTGTATGTCGCTTTAATTTCTATTTCAAATAAATATATTGCACGAAATATATCATTAAGCGATTGTCGCCACGAAATCATCTCTTATGTTACTTATCACCGAAATCGGATCCTCTGACACAATTACTAATCATCATAAATTCGATTTCGAGCGGGCAACGTATCATTCATATCATCCTTCACTATCATCATTCATATTATCCTTTGAATTGCAATCAAAATAAGCACGCAGGAGACATTATACGTAATAGTTATTATAATACATAAACACTTTTGAAATTAAAAAAAAAACAAGAATAGATATAAATGTATAAGTACTTTGCGTTAAATAAAGATAAATAAAATTAGATAAATATATAGATAATAGATAATAGATATAGATTATGGATAAATAAAATTCTTCAACAAGTATTGTCGCATAAAACGCGAAGATATCTTCTTCAGATATGATCATAAATTCTTGTTAAATATAATGTTTAAGCATACGCGAATATTTTGATTTTAAATACAGTTATTTCAAATCTTGATTCTTATTAATCTATCTCTTTTCTTATCATGAGATTCTGATCTTATCTTATTCCATATTTGATCTTATCTTATTCTAAGAAACGTAATAATAATAATAATAATTAAACAAGAATGCAATAACACTTTTTATTTTCGATACAATACAAATTTATTAATGCAAATTTTTGGAAAAATTTTATGAATTTTTTATTTGTTTAATTACTTTTTTGTTTATTTACTTCAAGTTTGTATTTTTAATCATAATTTTATTGTCTTTTATCGTATATGTAGCTATTGTGATTGTACAACATATAATATTGTATAACATATAGTAGCCTGTTTAATTTTATCGAATTTTAAATTTTCGTTTTAAAAATGTGTATGTATATAGCGTAAATAGTGTATAGCAAGCTTTAACGAAATATTATCCTTATATTATTATCCTTATATAATTGTCTTTATCTTCACAGAGTACAGGATGAAAAAAAAAAAATATATATATATATATATATATATATATATTTAGAAATTAAATATACATAAAAAATACATTTCCTTTTAGAATATTTAATGTAAGGCTGAAATATAATGATATAATATAACGATAGGGAATATTTATTATGAAGAATTGTAAATTATGCATTTGTTTTGTTATTTATTATGCAAAATAATTATAATACTCTCATTTGTAAAATATATAATATTATTGAATACTATCAAGAGATATTAAGATTCTTCTTATTTAGTATGTTTCATGATTATAAAAATTATACATGTTATTAATTCTTATGACAATACTTTTCCCCCGTGTACGTTTACAATTTACATAATACAGACATTGATTTGTCGCGGATACCGAAGATCAATTCCTTCCGAGTCTACTTTTTCCAAACCGGCCTTGCTAACAAATCATTTTCCAGGACGGAATGTCTTTCTTTTGCGAAATATGGATGAAAGAGCTAAGTGTGCTGATAGATCCGCAGCCCGGATAGGCGACACGTCGGTATTATTGCCGCGATTTCGATTCCACGTCGCGTGAAACGATCGCTGATGTCGCTTGATTGGTTTTATGGTCGCAGGAACATGGACAACCTTCGGCGTGGGTGGCTGCGGCAGCGAAGAGACCGCGGAGGCTGTCGTCGCGCTCGCCTACGACAGCGGGATTAATGTATTTGACTTGAGTGAAGCGCACAGCGGTCATCGCGCGGAAATCCAATTCGGTCGCATCCTGCTGAGACGAGCCTGGAATCGTTCCAGTTACGTCGTGACAACGAAAATTTATTGGAACACCAAGTGAGTAGAGTACGTACTGGTCGTATTTGCGCGTGTTCTCGGTGTCATTTGGTGGCGTCGTCGTGCGATGATGATGATAATGATGATGTTTAGCGAGCATTGATGATAGTGCGAAAGTGACTGTCTATAGTATATATATATATATATATATATATATATATATATATAGAGAGAGAGAGAGAGAGAGAGAGAGAGAATGAGTCTCATAAAAAGTTTACTATATTTTTCTCAAAAACGGTTAGAGATAGGGAAAGAAACTTATTATCAAAATTATAGGACAAGTAGGAGGACATGTTAGGTTGATCTTGAGTAATCTTGAGTGTCTTTGATTTTCACACTAACTAAAATTTTCATTATTTAAATAGGAAAAGGTACTCTTGAAAGGTACTTTTGAATCATTTCATCGATAGCTTCAACTAATGAGCTTCATAACTTTTATATCAGAGCATTTTTTTTCGAAAAATCAATCGAGATATTTACAAAATTGAAAGTCAGAATGAAAGTTTGGAACAGATGATCTCGCAGAGAATAATGCAGGGCTACCTCTATCTATCCATTTGTTTAGAGACATTGACTCTTGCTTTGTAATTATTTGAAAACTAAGGCATTCTGATATTCACATTTGAATTGCAATTATACAATCGATAAATACATAAATCACGCTGCAAACAAAGATTTTTAACGTTTTAAGTATTAATTGTTAATTATTCAAATATTAAATTATTCAATTTAAAAAAAAAATATTATATTCTAATAAAGAAGCGTTTGGTGTATTAATAATTTACACCTTTTACTGTAATTGTAATGATCAAAAAAATCTGTTCTAAATTTTTATAATATGTCCCCTTACGTCCCCTGAAATTTTGATAATGAGTGTCTTTCTCTATCTTTAATCGTTTTCGAAAAAAGTAGTGAATTTTTTATCAGTCTCACCTTGTATATAGTGATGGCTCTCATCGATGGCTCTCCTTGTTGTTGTAACGCTGCTGCACGCGAAAGCGCGAGCAAGTTTTTTTTTCCTTTTTTTCTTTTTTCCATATACGTGTTGTGCTTCTCGATCGATGGCTTCAGTGTATAATCGAACTTACGCTCACCGACCTGCGAACTTTATCCCTTTCGCGATCGTTCCCAACTCTAGAGTATTCTATGTAGACCATGATATACATTAGATATATATTGTACGTGATGCTTGTACTAAATCATAAAAAAGTAGATGAATTAAAAAGAATGTCTTTTTTTCTATTATCGAATCGCAAACCTATTTATGATTTTCGACATCATTATTGAAAAAAAAAGAAAGAAAGAAATTTACGAAAATATTACACGGGAAGAGAATGAATATGTAGATTCTCAGAGAATTAAATTCTTCTCGTTATCATAAAGATTACTGAAAGTTGCCAATCATTTCATAATTCGAAGGTTATCGATATCTTATCACATATATCGTATTTATCGATTGCATATCTAAAGCAATACCGATGCAGAAAATAGTGTCTTTCTTTAAAATACTTTTTTTTTAATTGATATGCCATCGATATGATTAATCGACGCGAGTGTGTTTACTTCAAAAGTCGTTTTATTTTAAACAAAAACTCGATAGAGAAGGATACTATGAATCTCGATACGAGACGACCTCGTTTAATATTAAGTGGACGGCGTGAATATAAGGCTCTGCCTTGACATGTGGATCGATAACTAGGTTTCCGTGCGTTAAGCCGCCTTGATTGTTAGCCGTTCGTATTCGAAGTCGCGTTCGCGAAACAGGGGGAGAGACCAAGGGACCATAACACATCTCACATTTTTACGAAATTCATTAGTAGTATTAATCCGTCTTGTATTATATATGATGAGATTGATAATATCTATCATTCTTGATAGGACCGAGGGTCGCGGGCTATCGCGGAAACACATTATCGAGTCCGTGCAAGCTTCGCTCGTCAGGCTGCAACTGTCGTACATCGACATTGTCATGATCCACAAAGTCGATCCAATGTGTCCAATGGAAGGTAACTTTCCACCTTCTTAATATTCTCTTGTGAGTGATACTCAAAGATTCGAATCCTTCCTCGTCCATTCCTCCATTCAAACACTTGCGGCACAAAACTCATTGCACAAAATGTCATATTCTATGAGATATATTGCAATAATAACTTTGATATTTAAAGATTCCTGTTAACGTAACATTTAGTTTCGATAAAAGAAACACTGTTGTTGCATAAACTATAAAAAGCAAAAAGAGAAAATTATCTGATTGCGAAAAGTGTTAAAATTGACATAAATATATTAAAGATAAAAGATTGAATAATATCGCATATCAAAATAATATCAAAAAATATTGCTTTTCTGTCTCTATTTAGATTTAATGCATTTTTAACGATTCGAATTTCGATTTCCTGTCAAAGAATAATCTGTAATAAATTCTTTATTTCTAATTTCAGTTAAAGAAATTTATAATCGATACTTTTATATATAGTTGATAATTTATAATATTAGATGTTGCTTCATTAAATATGAAGAACTGAAAACGTTCACTCATCAATATTTTGATAATAGTCTGCTAAAAGCAATTCTCTTCATAAAGAAATCATTTCGTAATAAATTCTGCTTTTCATGGATAAAGGTAAAATTATTTCTCATTAAGAGCGTTAACTATAAGCTGAAAATAAAATTGAAATCCTCGAGCCTTAGAAAGAGATTATTATAATAAATTAATTTAAGAATACTATAGTTTTTTTCATATTTATAAAACACGAGTCCATTGGATAGTGTTATGCAATGCAATTATTACAAAATAAGAAGAAAATGATTTTATAATTAATAAACATCTGATCTGAAAAATTTTATCGATTTTCATATTGCATAACGCAATTCAATTTCACAGAAAACATGAGAAATCTTTTCAGTCCATACAAGAAATTTGAAAAAGATTAGATAAAGTTATACGAGAAAAAAATCTCCGTTATATATAGTGACGATTTGATGTTTGGCAGTTGCACTGTGCCGTAATAGTTACCGTATGCTTCTTTCTATACTCAGTACTCTTATAGTGAAAATGGAAAGTTATTGTTGTAAAAGTGTATATGTATCTCGTATGTATTTCTTTTCTTTTTATCGATATGTGTATAAACTTTCTCCTGTGTTTATGTATCGCGTTAATGTATGATGCTTCAATATCGTGCGAAAAACAAAATGTATGCAAGTGAAAACTACTTTGGCTATTTTACCTTTATCCCCATACGTTTTAAAATACATACATTTCTTTGCTTTCTCTCTTTCCGATAGATATATTATTTTTCTCATGTCAAAATAAAGATATCCGTTTAACAAAAGAGATAAATTAAGATTAATTTTGCATCATTCACACCAATCATTCAGCAATTTTTCCACGCGACAAAACAACTCCTTTATCACTTCTTGTATCTCACGTATTCATGTGATCTCATTTCAGAGATCGTTCGCGCTATGAATTACGTTATAAGCAAAGGTTGGGTAATGTACTGGGGTACGTCGCGATGGACACCCGTGGAAATTATGGAAGCCTATACGAACTGTCGGCAGTTCAACTGCGTGACGCCGATTGTCGAGCAAGCGGAGTACCATTTGTTTTACAGAGAGAAACCTGAACTTTATATGCCAGAATTGTATAACAAAATTGGTAATTAATCTATTTCATGATAATGTCGAAATAAAAGAATTTGTATCTTTTCTCTCGACTTCTTCAAAAGTAAACGCTTACTTTTTACAGGCGTTGGTTTAATGGCATGGTCCACTGTCACTATTGGAATGGTTTCTTCAAAGCCGGAAGATTGCGGAGTATCGTTTCTCTCGAGATCCTCTTATAAAGTAAGTATGTATACATATATGTGTGTGTGTGTATGTACAGATACGTTAGAGTAAGTAAGTGTGTAAGCGAATTTATATATTTTGTAGAAAATAATTCGATAAAAACGTCTCTCAAGAGTGTCGTGGAATTGTTGTTCCCAGAGTGAATGCTCTAGTAGCATTGTCACTCTTGATATTCGGAGTATTTTTGTTCGATATAAGCTATTAAAGATGAAGGATTGTTACTTTTCGTGTATAGAGATGTATATCTCGCAATAAGAAATAATCTTTATGATTTCAGAATAAATACTCTTCATTTAGTTGGACGGAGGATGAAACTCAATCTTTGTACAAGGAGGTATGATTTCACCATGCATAATATATTTATAGAAAAAAATGTGCACATATATGTGCGTGAAATATAATTGAAAACATAATCGTGTAAAAGCATTTTGTACTCGTATTTATTTTGAGAAGCTTATATATTCGCCAAGACTAATGATATATCATACAATTCTAGAGATAACCTGCAATTTTATTATTACATTAATTAAATATGTAAAATATTTAATTCTGGAAAATGTCGACCTAATGATGCAGAGCACGAGATATGATTTATGTCTCTCTCTTCATTTAATTTTCGTTTTTATCCTTTAGCAGGAATACGGGTGGAAAGACAAATCTGCCGACGATGAGACTCGGAAATACTCGGATAAATTGCGGGACGTGTGCGCTTTGGCCGAGAGACTGGGATGTTCCTTCGGACAACTAGCCATCGCGTGGTCTTTAAAGAATGAAAGTGTTCAGTGCCTTTTGCTTGGTGCATCCAATATAGATCAATTGTACGAGAGTCTCCAAAGTTTACAGGTAACAATAAGGCTGTTTACTTTTCGAAAGGCAATTCGAATATACGATATTTAAATAACGTAAATAAATTAATTCGAAATTATACTTTTCCTATCATCGTCAGATATCGCATAACATTTTAAAGTTGCGTATAAACTGCACCAGTTATCGACAAGTTTCAACTGATTTATCATTGTTTTGTAGATAAATAAGCATTTAATGCTTAATTAATCGCATGATTTCTTTATCAAAGTGTCTAGTCTAGCGTAGTAAAGAAAGATTTATTTATCTAGATTTGCAACTATCAGAAACCGCAATTAAGCTATAATTAAAAATATTGTAAAGAATAATAATAGTGCTTAACGCGAGACTAATTAAGAATCAAAAGTATGGCTTGATTAAAAAAAAGAAAAAAGCAGAAGAATAGTGAATGTGCGGTTTTCAGCTTATCCCAAAGTTGAACGCGAGCATAATGAGCGAGCTCGAGAGGATTCTTGACAACAAACCGTCCCGACCGCCGATGATATCCACACTGGCGCTTAGATGACAATCAATGTGCCCCCACGGTAGCGGTGGGGGCTCCGTCGAGGAAGCGGGTAGTCCGAAGAGCGAAGGCGGCAACAGTCACGATCAGGAGCAGACCAAGGAGGTGAACAACAAGATGCCATTCTGCGAGATACAGTGAGATGCGCGGACAGCGATCTCGCTACCCTCGGTATTGTCAAAGCTCGCAAGGATCGACATGGACGAAGGTCCATCTACGCGTTTCTCATCCACATCCTCGCTTTCACCCCTTTGGTCGCGGCGTAGGTCGATTGTACATACGACACACGAGTCGATGACAATACTTACTTAATTACGAGAACAACATCCGGAAACTTGCCGCGAGACAACAGTTGGGTACTTCTTCACGATATTTGTATCTGCTCTCTCGCGTACGTCATTTCGTGGACTATACGTAGATATATAGAGGAGGATATAATATAAACATAACGTTACGCAAGCGGGATCTTTCTCGTGTTACAACGGAATCGCATGTCGCACTTTTTGAAGACATTTTCAGAGAAATGATTAGGCTTATTTCACATAAGTCTCTCTGTAAGTCTCTCTCTCTTTCTCTCTCCCCTTCTCTTTCTCTTTCTCTCTTCCTCAACCGGGAGATTTATCGTCGAGATTTCCATTCGCGATTCCAAGTGTTCATTATTCTTAGTATTAATAATCCCGTTTGCTACTCACACTGTGAGATAGTGAATGACCAGCGTGTCTCCACACACGAGCAAAATACACTTGTTCTGCCACTCACTGGTCGAGTAAAAGTGAATTGCGAATGATATAGCATGTCGATTATCATTTAAAAATTGCGTTATAGATCATAAGAATTTATCAAGAATAAATATTACCAGTAACACTGCGCGTTTTACGTATTCTATTCAGAGTATTTTCATCTGTAATACGTGACGCTCACAACTTCGGTCATTCATTATATATTTCTTTCGCTACAGCTACCGCGATTAATTTTTCGCATCCCTTCCACCAATTCCTCTCTCTTTCTCTCTCTCTTTCCTTCTCTCTCTCTCTTCTTTATTTACCTTTTAATTTTTATTTTCTAATCGTTTTGCATTTTAAAAGACGCGAAATACATAGCATTTTTTATAAAACAAAAAATACATTGTGTTACGAACTTAATTCTCTTATAAAGAATACTCTCTTTGAGAAATTGAATTTTTTGTCATAAATAAATAGAAAATCCGAAAATAAGAAAGAAGAAAGAAATGGCATTTGAAGACAAGTACGAATAATTGTCGATAATCGATTCAGTGAAATAAATCGAAATGAACGGAAAGGTGAAAAAGAAATTTTTTTATTCGAAATGTATTTAATTCTTTAATTTCATTCATTCGTTAGGCTTAAATGTAATAAATTTCTTAAAGGTTACATTTTTTACATTCGTAATATTTTCGCACAAATGTTTTCTTAAAACGTGCACTGTCATGCACCAACTAAATATTCGCAAACTCTCAATTAAACTCAGATGTAAATTACAACATGATAGACTTACAAAGAATCTTCGAGGAGCCGAATACAAGTAGTATGTACACAAAAGAGAGATCTATTTACTTCAATAAATGCCGTTTTTCTATAAAAGAGAGACGTTTGTGTGATTATGGCCCACACAAGAACTTTCGGCTCGCCACAAAGAGATACAGCACATTCTCAAGAAAGATCGTTTATCTTAAAGAGAGACTTGCGAGATTCGTAGTGATCTCCACAATAATATCCTTGTGCAAAGTATCCATGCTTCTGAGAACGTACTTTTTTTATTTATTTCGCAGTTTCTTTAGATCAAAATATAACGGTCATATTTTTGTTATAACAAGCGTCATTTTTCTAGTCCACTTAAACATTGCTCAAATATAATAGATTGTGAGAAAATTTCTCGCTCTTATAAAGAGATGGCTCGTATTTAAAATATACATAAAAATACATTATGTATTATATACATTCCTCCTATTAAAATCTGCAATCGATTTTTAGTTACATTTCGATGAAATCTATTTTTCAAAATTATGCGTACGCAGATATCTTACAAAATATACATGCATATAAGCAGGGGTACATACACAAGAAACATAAAAATATTAATAATATATAATCTTTTTCGAACCAAAACACATCATGCGTTCGTTTTATATGATTATTTCTTTCGAAATTTTCTCACAAATGTGCGATACGCATTATCATATTTTACATCCGCGCGCGTGATGTAAATCAAACTCATTTTTACGTATATGTATGAATGCTTGTGTGTGTGTGTGTGTGTGTGTGTGTGTGTGTGTGTGTGTGTGTGTGAGCACGCGCGGGGATTTTCTTCGCACTCTGTATAAATATCATTGACATTCCATTTAATCTTGTCAAGCCAATTATCGATGATAAATGCGAGAGAGCCTCTTTTGGAAATGTACGATGTGTCGCATGCGCTCAGAGAAAAGAGGAATAATAATGGAAGCTGCCAGTACGCTTTTATCGCGCGCAATATATGATCTCTTCGACTCAGAACTTTTGTCCAAAATGTTATATATATAGATACAGCGAGAGATGTATAGGTGATCTAGCGTAAATATTTGGAAGTGATAGAGAGGAAATATCGTAAATGAATATACAATAGTACATTCACATCGTATGTATTATTACAAATCGAAATAAAGTGATCACTGGAGGGACTATAATTGTCATCGGATTTGTGGATCATCCGTTACTTTGTACATTTCCGAATATTTACGATGTAAAAATGCCGATGGAGCTCTGACGATCGAAAGAATTATCAATGAAAGCTGCTAGAAATAACGAAACATGCGTGGCATCAATGTCTGAGGTTCAAGTTAGCTTCAGCACTGAAAATGGCGAGATCGATATAGAGAGATCGTCCATCGGTGTCGCTCTACAAAAATAAAATAGTAACACGGCAAACAAGTAAAATTGATGATGCTTTATTTAGTCATGACTCATGACTATAATTTTAATATGCTATCAATTCTTTGCGCAACGAGCTTTTGCTTTACAACTGCTATTAGATAATTAATTCGTTCTAACAAATATTTCAGAAGAGGAAGGAAATACATTTCCGGAAGAATAGAATAGTTCTAATTTCTCATTTTACCACGCGTTTGTTTTGATTTATCTCACAGTTTTCTCATGCTATTATCGCTTATAATATTATATTAATATCGTAGATTGAATCGTATCGAATGAATTTATTCTTAAAATCAGATTAGACAAAGAAGTTTCTTACAATATAATTATTTGAAAGACACTTATATATGCTTAATTGTTTATCATGTTTCAATTCAAAACAAATCTGTGTTTTAACATTTGTGCAGTTTTTATATTTTACGTTTCTTTGTGTGTATTTAATAAAGATTAATATATTACTGCAATAGAAGGGGGAAATGTTACAATATTAATATTACAAAGATTTGAACATGCAATGCTAAAAGCAAACTGCACGATAATCCAAATAAGGCACTTTAAAATCAGGGCAATCCCGCAACGACCAGTTTCTGCTACAGCTCTTTTAGCAATTATATTAATATTAATATTTTTTATTTAAGTTTTACATATTGTCCATAAAGAACAAGCCATGTGTTAACGATCGACCATAATTGATATAAAAAAGATATATATATATATATATATATATATATATCTTTTTCTATATCAATTATATATATATAACATAATATATATATATATATAACATAATATATATATATATAAAGTTTTTTATGATTTTTTTTCCAAAATATCGATTTTACTCGCGTAACCTTTTTCCTAAAATATATGATTTATCCCAAAATAAGAGGATTAATTAAAAATAAGAGAGACGCAACGTCACTGCGGCTTATTGCGTATATCTGCCTTCACCGCCTACTTACTTATCGCCTGTTTACTCCCGTAAAGAGATACATTTAGATCTTGCTGACATATAAGCAAACCCATCGTATCTTTATACGATAAAACGGCAAAGTACGGCAAGGTCGCAAATGCCATAATAGAGAGAAAAGCAATATCTGAGAGTCCAACAAAATAAAAAAATATTTCCGACACGCAAAGTCCTTTCCCAATCGTATCGAATAAAAAAATATTCACAAAACGTCATGATATTTTATTGTCCGATCGTTTCCACGATTTTAAGAGCATGAAGAGCACTTGATTGATTCTCATGATACACGGGCAACAGTAAAAGTAATGAAAAAAACAGTAATGAAAAAACGAATCATCATGAAAGATAATCCTTGATGCCCATTGCTAAGGGGATATCCTGACTTTCATTGGGTATATCCGCATACGGTCACTAGTGACATCCTAATCAAAGGGGACCAATGTTGCGATGGGCATCTTACTATTATCGCTTATCCCAGGGAATCATTGCTGTGATAATTGGCATGTACCTAGTATCATTAAATATGTCATTATCGATTGGCACATTTGCTAATCATATGGTGAAATCTTTTCAATGAAGAAAGAAAAAATTATATATTATAATTATTATATAGAAAGAGAGTAAGGATAAAAAAATGTGATACAAAATCGTACTTGAAATTGTGAGTTTATATACACTAATCATTGCGAATTGTATCAGGTATAATACGTGCATACGAAGTATGTAATTATTTACATGTAAATGGATATGTGAAAAAAGGATTAAATTTTTTCTAAACAAACTTACGGTACATTACAATTAAAAAAAAGAAATTGGTGCTTATATAATTGAATGTGACATCAATCGTTTCGTGCTCGTAAAATGCGGAACAAGAATCGACAGAGAAAAAAATGTCATGCCGTTCGCTTGTAAATATATAATATAGCCAATTTATACTATAATACATCAAGTTTGAGATGGGCAAATAATTTTACGATATCAAATTCTACATTTCGCGTTTGCAATTTTTAGAACAAACTCTTCTTCAAAGTTACGTATTTTTTGCAAAAATCTCTTTACAAAATAATATAAATTATAGAGAAACCAGATTTCCGTCTATAAGCGCGCGTATAATTTTGAATAAAAATATAAGCGGATTACTGGATCGCGTGATTGGCCCATCTCAAAAATAGATACTTCAACAATACTCTTGCGTCTTTGATTTACAGCATTATATAACACTAGTGTATAAATTATATATATATATATATATATATATATATATATATATAATAATAATTTTTATAATAAAAACTGTATAAAAACTCATATCTATGACATATTAATTCCTTATTAGGAATTGAAAATTATTGCATGGATATATTTTATCACGCTTTAAATGTACAACTTTTATGAAAGTCGTTCAACTAATAACAATGTTAATTTGCGAGTTTGCAAAGTTTATCTCGTGTAAGGGCTAATTATAGAGAACAAGTTGAAAAATAGAAGAAAAATTTTTTTAAATATATTTTTTCCTATAATATAAAAAAACATATATATATATTTTTATTATAAATTATTTATATTCTAACGTAACAGTGATTCTAGATTTTCAGAGATAACATATAAATACATGGTTATAAAATCACAACAAAAAAAAATATATTTTGATGATAATATTTCGCAATTTAATGATTTTTTTAATGGCGACACATTTTTAAGAAGGACACATAGGTAAGTTCACCGGAAAGAAGACGTTCAGTTCAAACATCAGAGCGAAAACTAAGAATATCGTATATAGTATCACGCAGATGATGCCCACCTTTCTGTCTAAGCGATACTTACAGAACGCAGTTACCACGTAGAAAGCGATTATACACACGATGATCGAGAGTACGCTGTAACTTAGAGCGTCCGAGATGATCTTAATATCCTTCTTGTTTATGAGTATCTTTATCATCCACGGTAAACCGAGACATAGCAAGATGTCAAGTGTGTTTGCGCCTAACGTATTACTCATCGCCATGTCTCCATTGCCTATGAAAGAAAAGATCATTCTTGTCGGACGCGATTGTAGATGTTATATATATATATATATATATATATATATATATATATATATAACATATACATATATAATAAATATTTAACGAATTAATCGAACGAATGCATTCCGATTCATCTTTTCGTTTGGTATATATAAATATTTAATTCACTATTCGACTGATTGCGTTCCGACTCGCTTTTTTATTCGATATATATAAATATTACACTTAAGTGTGAGTCTAAGAAGCAGATTTCGGATATTCACTATAAGTCAGCCGCTCCTCGGACGATCGGGACGAGATTTAAACGGTAGTGCCGCGAAATGGTGTAGAATTTTATGCAAAAAGAACGAAATCGCTATCGCGTCCGGATGTCGAGATATAAATTGGCCGTTTTTCGTTTGCGCGCGAACGGTCGAAATCGTGCACGACGTCGCGCATGTTGCCTGCCTCTCTCGCGCGATATTCACTGTAACGCGGCGAGTAAAATGGCAGGTCGAACGTAATCGTTCGATTAATTGATTAAATACTTATATATATCGACCGAAAAGATGAATCGGAATGCAATCGTTCGATTAATTAATTAAATATTTATATATATCGAATAAAAAGGCGAGTCGGAATGCAATCAGTCGAATAGTGAATTTAATATTCATATATACCAAACGAAAAGATGAATCGGAATGCATTCGTTCGATTAATTCGTTAAAAATTTATATATATATATATATATATATATATATATAAATTTTTAACGAATTAATCGAATGAATGTATTCCGATTCATCTTTTCGTTTGGTATATATAAATATTTAATTCACTATTCGACTGAAAAGATGAATCGGAATGCATTCGTTCGATTAATTCGTTAAATATTTATATATATAAATATTCTTCTGCTTCTTGGACTTACACTTAAGTGTAATCATGCATCTTTTCGTTATATATGTATATACAGGAGGTATATACAGTATATACAGACCCTATATATATATATATATATATATATATATATATATATATATATGGGGCCCTGTATACACACACACACACACACACACACACACACACACACACACACACACACAGGGTGTAGAAAAAAAGTAAAATATTTGTGTGTGTGTGTGTGTGTGTGTGTGTATGTGTTAGGGTTGCACAAGACCCAAGACAATATTCGTAAAAATATTGTATTGGTATTGAAAATTTTCAAAAATTTAAATCTTATCTTGGTCTTGAGTGAATATTGATAGCAAAAATCTCGTCTTGTATTGTCTTGTCTCGATTTTATTAACAATTTTTTATCTAATATTAAAAAATTATTTAAATAATATTTAACATAATTTTTGTAATATAATTTGAAATAATTATTACTATTGTATTATATTTTAATTATAATTATTACTATGTAATCGATATAAATGCCGTCTATTTACATAAAAAAACATTTACTGTTTCATGGAAGACAGAAATTAATAACTATTTACAGGCTCCAAGGAAATGTGCAGATATAAATATTTTGGAATGATAAAAAAAATCAGGTTCATATTTATCCCACATTGTCAAAAATGGCTCGAAACATTTTAAGTTCAACTGCCTCGTCTGTGCCAGTAGAAAGACTTTTCTCAATAGGAAAACTCTGATTATGTCAAAAAATAGAACCAGATTACAAAGTAAATCTTTAAAAGCACCAATGTGCATCAATTCCTGGGTGAAATGCTCTTTAATGTCTAAAATTCGCGAGTTTGATTTCTAATTTATAAAAATGTTATATTGTATTAATATTAAATATTTTTAAATTTATTAATATAAATGTTTTTATTGAATAAAATTTTTTTAAATTCGTATATAGTGATTTTTTTTTCATTTACAAATATAAATATTTTAGTTTTTTGGGAACCAATAATCTTGACAAGACTAATAATCTTGACAGTCTTAAGTATTGTCTTGATATTATCTTGATAACTAATTAAAAATCATGATCTTGTCTTGAAATTCAAGACGAGACAAGACAATATCAAGCCTAATCTTGGTATCTCGTGCAACTCTAATATATGTGCGTGTGTGCGCACGTGTGTATAGCTAACTTTTAAATCTCTTTGATTAGTATGTCTTTTTTCTTAATTGACTCGATATTCGGAAAAACTGACCTTGTTTGGAGAGTATCACAATCGAGACGAGTTCCGGCATATTACCACCAGCGGCTTGGAACGTAATACCCACTACAGAATCCGGGATCCCGATGGTGTCGCCGAGTACAGTTGTCATCCATGATGTCAGATAAGACGATATTGCAATCCATATCACACATATAACGAACGTTATCATATACCAGCTTCTCCATCGTTTATATCTACTATCCGGTATAGTAACAAACAGAATTAATCTTAACGGCCAAACGAACCAAAACCAGATTTTTGCCAGGTTATTTCCGGTCGGCCATACAAAGGGTGTATCTAGAAACGAGCTAAACTCAACTATTTGCTACTTTATTTTATTATATTTAACGGTTCAAATTCACTGCGAAAAATATCCGGTGAAAAAGTAACGAACAGATATTATCCGATTATTAATCGATCACTTTAATCGGAAAAAAAAGAAACCGATCAGATATTCAATCAGAAAATATCAATCCATCATAATTTGATATTTGATCAGAAAGTTCAAAATTCGGAACTATCCGATTAAAGTGATCGATTAATAATCGGATAATATCCGTTTGTTACCTTTTCACCGGATATTTTTCTCAGTGCATTATTTTTACGATTAAACGAAATTGGGGTGCGCATATGATACCTAGTTCGACATATTCCTCCACTTGTTCCATGTGATTTTGCATTTCTACATCGTTAACGGAGGAAGACTTGTGACCGTTGTTTACTATACTCTTTCTGTATTCCTCTACGAGTTCTCCGTGAAAGTACGGCCTGTACAAGCCAGCAGGCATTGACTCTTCCTTGTCTTTAGGAACTATTGGATAACAAAATTCATATATAGGCGGTCCACGCAGTCTCTCTTTGAGAATTTTAGACAAACGCACATACACACAGTTATAACTGAATTACCTGTCGACAAGTATATATAACGTTAATGTAAGAGATATTGTGAAAGAGTGAGTTTTCCTAATTAGATTCGAACGAAATTGATATTTCAAAACAATCATCTTAAAAATTACATCGTGATTCACATAAAAAATATCAATCATGTTTTTGTAGAGTTTAGATAAACATCTAAACTCATATGTAAAATTATAAATACACACACATATATATATATATATATATATATATATTATAAATACACATATATATATATATATATATATATATATATATAATTAAAATATTATGTCGATTATATAACATCAAATAACTAAATCTTGTTTCAGCTTTATTTCCATCACAACAAATGCATATGTTAAATTAAAATATGATTTCATGTGAAAAGCCGGCGCAGAATTTCATATTGCTACTTCTATAGAGATGATCTGTGTTAACCGCTGGGAAGATTGATTATATTCGTGGAAAGGCGTATATGAAAATTGCACAAAACAGATATTTCAAAAAAGTCAGTAATAAAACTTACTTTTTTTTTCAGAAATAATCGTACTGGCGTTCTTGTCAGTGAATAGATGCGCAAGTTTATTATACCAACGCACAAAGTATTTACCGCAAAACAATATCGTCAAATAAGTGACGAATAGTACCATGAGGATGATCGCTTCGTACAACTTGATTACGCCGTCCCACATTACGATCACTAAGGTAGTGACCGATATCACGTAAATTATACAATCCCGAGTTAATATTCGCCATTCTAATGATATTGCCTGTTGGAGAATGCAAGAAAAATTATTTTAATTTTATTTACTCTGGCATATAGCGCGACAGAATGAGCAATCATTCTAGTATTAAAAATAAAATATTATAAAAAAAATATAAAATATAAAAATATGTTACAAATCCTATATATATATATATATATATATATATATATATATATATCGATATTTATTTTAAATTTATTTTTTATGAGCTTTTTCGTATGGAATTTTTCATAATTTTGTACACGTAGATAAATCAGCATCAATGATGACTATATTTTTTAATAAGTTTGATGATTGATATTTATATTGATAATAATAAAATTGAAAAATTATAAGATATATAAAAAAATGCTATACATTTTTTATATATTTCACGTACATTTATGTTTTATAAATATATCGCAGTGGCTCCAAAGGTGAATAATTAAAAATTAATTGTTAAATATATTACAGTGGATCCAAAGATGGACAATTAAAAATTAATTTAGCTTATATTTATCAAATAAGCAAACAGCAAATACGAGGGACGAACTCTACGAATCGTGAAAAAGATTACATAAGCGCATGTATGCATGTGTACGTGTATACGTATTTGTATGTGTATATGAAATATTACTCACGAAATCCGCGACCTTACATTGTTGACATAATTTCATACATAAAATTAATATTCCGTAATCCAGCACTTGAATAAGCATTTTATTTTTTATGTTTACTTTACAGAGTTTAATCAATTTTTTAGTCCATTGGTAACGATAAAAAATCGTTAAATATGGTTTCCAGAATTTCCCATATTTTTATAATTTAAACTAAAATTGACGAAGAGAGAACATAAATTTACTCACTGTCATAATTATAAGGATTACACTTATTATAATATAAACTCTATATATTTAAAAAAAAATATATAATTAATTATTCTCCTAATATGTATAGTTTTGTTATCATAATTCATATTCTTCAGTAAGTAAAAGTTCTGCAAAATATTAATTTCATCTAACTTTTATTTTTTACGAAACGAAAGAAATCATAAAAGTTACCTTAATAAAATGATAAATCATTAATGTTGAATGAAGATATATTATCATTCCTCCTTATTATCATTTCGATACAATAAAACTCACACATAATAATAATGTGGATATAGATTATCGTCATGTGCCACATTATCATTTGCAAGAATTGTACTAATGCAAGTATCATTTACTTTAGTGTACGCTAACAAATGAAAATTAGTCAGATGAAATAAGATAAAACTCAGAAGATAAAAAGCTCAGATAGATCTCAGAACAATAATTCTCGTTTATGAATCGAATTAAAAGAGATGTAAAAAGAGAATGTTGAAGAATCTGTGGAATAAAATGGAGAAACTACTGTGAATTTAAATCTCCTGTAATCTTAACCAGTTTCATGTGAAAATAATACATCGATTAACTTATAAATAATCGAAAAAATAATCTTTAAAAAGAAATCTTTGAAAACTTTTGTTTATAGCTTTTATCTATAGGTTAAATAAAACAAATAAAATAAAGTTTTGATAAATATCATCACGTGTGTGTGTGTGTGTGCGCGTGTTTCATAAAGAAAAATCATCTAATCATATTAACAATAAACTTGCTAAAGCGAATTATACATTGGAATGTATTTATATATTTCATTGATGTTATTTATGATATTGTTATTAAATGTTTGTAAACAATGAATTGCTACTAATTGTAAATAGGGAACGATAACGTATTAGTATTTACTCCAATTTAAATGTTCGTGCACTATTTTCTAGGGCATTATAATTTATATACTAACAAGATTTTTCATATCAGCTATTTCATATTGAATAACGACATTTTATTATATAAGAGAAGACAAAAGTATAATCTAAAATTCTTTAATTCTTTTTCAAACTTCATATCAAATCTCAACAGATTTGTAATTAAATATTCAATTATATTAAGCTGATTAATTCATAGTCACTATTTAAACGTTTCGTATGATTTATAGTTGTTTTATGTATGTTATAGAATATTCTATATACATATGTTTCTTTTTAATTAATAAACTTTTATTTTGAGGATCAAGATTACACGAAGATCAAGATTATACGAATCAAGTTAATGTATGTAGACAATTAACATAGGAGAAGATGTCCTATTTAAGAAATTGCGCAAATGAAACGGTCGCTTATCGTCGATAAAAAAATATATTTTAATAAATGATTTTCGATGATAATGATGTATAAATAAATGATAAATCCCAAGTATAACTTATCATTAATAAAAATTCCGATAAGTGAGATAGATAATAACACATTATTGATAACATTATTTACATTATACTATAGATATAGATTTTATAAACACATATATATTTGCACTTTATTTTCTTTTCTTTTTGATCTTTACATTTTCCAATGAATTTTTTTGAAGATTAATTTCTCAGATTTTTATTTTAAAAGATTTGCAAAAAATTTTAATATCAAAAGTACGATATTATCTGGTATAAAATAATTTTTCATAAATATCTGTGAATATGTTATTTTTTATGTCTTAAATTTTTAAGCAAAGTTTAAAAATCGAGGGAAAAAATGATATATCAATTCTGGTATCTTTCCTCTACTAATTCTTTGAGCACAGATAAATACAGCTAAGTACAATATCTCTCTAGATTCGTAACAAACTAAGATTTCTCTAAGATACATTATCTGCTATATAAATGCTCTGCGCTCTTTACACTTGTAGATATATTTATCAGTATTTAAGGATACTCACGTTGATCGCCAATAACGCACCGCACGCTGGAGTCGCGAATGTATTGAAGACTGCGCTGCCCATCACGGTGCCGATCCCGAGGTCAGATTCGGTCAGGAAGGTGCCAACAACGTTGACGAACAACTCGGGGAAGCAGCTCGCAGTGGCGAGAAAAGTCGCTCCGGCGACGTCGCTGCTGATATTGAGGCGTGTGCATATGATGTCTAGGGTCGGCAACAGATAATCGTTACATACGAACGCTGTCAGGATGAAGCAGTAGAATTCGAAAAAGATGTGAAGTATAGCCGCGCCTCGACGACGCTGCTCTAGCGTAAATATCTCCGGGAAGTCGTCAACCGAACGCTCTGAACAGTTGTTCGTAGCGTTGTCTTGTCTTGTGACATTTATAGCGGGGTCGTCAAATGATATATTATTGTATTGTATCCAGTCATATTTGCGAGTATTGTTCGAACGTGAATCGTCTATTGAAAAGTCCTCGAGGGTTGAGATTGCAGGCAAATACTCTAATCGAACAGAAAAGAGATTCATTCAAGTTTGACTAAAATCATCTCGAGGAAATAACAAAAGATAATTTTAAATTTTTATCTGTCTTTTTATTTTGCGCGAAAGAAATCGCAATGTCTTTGCACTATGAATGAAAGATGCAAAATGATATGCAAAACGAAATGTCATATAAATTTTTTATTTTATTTTTATATTCTTTTTTTTATATTTTTTTTTTACTTTTATACTTTATTCTTAACTGTGGATACATTTTTTTTAATATATACTTTTCAATATTATAAATTACAATTTTATTTCTTTGTTTATATATTTGAAATTTTAATTATGCAAACGTAATATATTTTAAAATAATAATTCAGAACAAACGAACAAAACTTTTGGTTCATTTACTCCAAATTATTATATGCATTTTTTCTTTCTCTTTACATTTCTTTCTGCACTTCTCATTTCTTTAATTTAATATGCATGTTATTTTGTACATTATCTTTACAATAATAATAAATAGATCATTATACAATACTATGCATTTTAGGGCAACTTTAGAGATTGTTAGGCAACGCTTCGCATTTTTAAAAAAATTTTGCAACACACACACACACACAATGTAAAACGTCTGCAAAATAACCGTGAATTTTGAATTAAGTGAATTACAATTATAGTATTTCTGGCTTTCAAATAAAAGTTATATTAGAATTTCATCAATTGTGAGTTTTCAACCAATTATACGAATTTTCCATAAAACGAGTTAGTTAAATCTCATCTATGTTTCACACCTAATTTTCACTTTAATGGTTTCATCATTAAGTACAAAGACACGATGAAAATCTATTTTTTTCTTTTTGATCAACTGTATCGAATTCTGTGTAGACATTGAACAACGTCTTTTAAATTTCAAAAATATGTTTTTCGGAAAACAAAATGAAGAGAAAACATAGTATATTATAGTTGATAGAATCGAAACGACGATTCGCGATAAAATAAAACGATCGAAATAAAACTTTTTCTCATAACTCACCATTGTACAAGCGCGTAAATTCTAAATCCGCGGCACTGTTGTCAGACGCGAAGGTAAGAATGACAAGTACCGTTAATGCGATACTGACAGTCATTCTCGTAAATACCGCGCGCAAAGTGTTGCTTCCATGCGATTTTTATCAGAGAGTGAATTTTTAACGATGTAGTCACTCAAATGAAATACGGTAAACTGCTGCTTAAACTACAGTAACGAATGACACTTATAATGAATTCGATTGATTAGAGAATCCCTCACTCCTTTCTATCGACACTACGTTGAGAGAGAGAGAGAGAGAGAGAGAGAGAACTTTTTATCTTCGGTTGTTCAAGCAAACTAAAATTAGATAAAGATATGTATGAAAGATAAAGATATACAGGGTTTTCAAAAAGTCCGGAAACGGTCGAATATCTAAAAAATAAAGCATTTTAGAGAAAAATGTTTCAAATAAAAGTTGTTTGGTTTAAAGAGAGCTATAAAATGATGGCAATGGTTTGAGCTTGAATAGTCGCTAGAAGGTCACATGAAGATCACCTTAAATTTCTTAAATGGAACATCCTATATATTTTTTTCATATTCTTGTAGCTTATCTCGAAAGAACATGATAATTATGAAACGAGCGATAAAAACGCGGATGGTAATGCGTACATTTTTTTTTTCCAAACTAATTGTTCGCGAAAAAATTTTTTTAAGACGTGCACAAGGCATTTATACATATATTTTACTTGGTGTATATGCCAAGTTATAGATTCTCTTGGTTTGAGACTTCTATAACACTCTCTTTATCCCCTTGAAGAGATGTAGACAGGAAAAATATCGGGGCGAAATCGCTGAATCGGAAATCGAACCCGAGTCTTTCGCTTGCCGGGAGACTGCTCTTATCACTGAGGTATTCAGCCCCACATCGACACTTCTCCTGTCCGTTTTTATTAATCTATGGAAATAATGAGAACACGATCTTTTTAGCTTGGCGTGTAGTTCTAAATAAATTTATAAAGAATACGGCTCTATGTATTTAACAACATGATAATTATGAAACGAGCGATAAGAGCTTAAAAACGCAGATAGTAATGCGTAAATTTTTTTTTTTTCCAAACATTAATTGTTCGCGGAAAAATTTTTTTAAAACGTGCACAAGGCATTTATACATATATTTTACTTGGTGTATATGCCAAGTTATAGATTCTCTTGGTTTGAGACTTCTATAACACTCTCTTTACCCCCTTGAAGAGATGTAGACAGGAAAAATATCGGAGCGAAATCGCTGAATCAAGAATCGAACCCGAGTCTTTCGCTTGCCGGGCGACTGCTCTTATCACTGAGCTATTCAGCCCCACACCGACACTTCTCCTGTCCGTTTTTATTAATCTATGGAAATAATGAGAACACGATCTCGATTCAACAATTTCGCCCCAATATTTTTCCTGTCGACATCTCTTCAGGGGGGTAAAGAGAGTGTTATAGAAGTCTCAAACCAAGAGAATCTATAACTTGGCATATACACCAAGTAAAATATATGTATAAATGCCTTGTGCACGTCTTAAAAAAATTTTTTTGCGAACAATTAGTTTGGAAAAAAAAAAAATGTACGCATTACCATCCGCGTTTTTATCGTTTGTTTCATAATTATCATGTTCTTTCGAAATAAGCTACAAGAATATGAAAAAATATATAGGATGTTCCATTTAAGAAATTTAAGGTGATCTTCATGTGACCTTCTAGCGACTATTCAAGATCAAACCATTGCCACCATTTTATAGCTTCCTTTAAACCAAATAACTTTTATTTAAAATTTTCATTTTTCTCTAAAATGCTTTATTTTTTAAATATTCGACTGTTTCCGGACTTTTTGAAAACCCTGTATAAGAAATCTACATCAATTATCGGTTACTCATACATCTAAATTTCCCGTCATCTCTATCTTCTTCAAATATCGATGAATTATCTCTATCTTCTTCAAATATCGATATATATCATGATCGCCCGGCCATGAATATTAATTAATATTAATATTCATTTCCGGGCGATCATGATATAGAAAACAATATGTAATCAAAAAGATTTCTAAAAGATATCGCATTTCTGAATCTGATAACTTAAAAAAGCTCTTTATTTTAAAAAAGATCATAGAATAAAGATACCAGAATGTTACCTAATGCACCGTTTTTTGAAGACAGAAAGATATCACAAAAATGATGTCTCTCATACAGCACAGAAAGGTTGTAAATATATTGCAGAATAATTTCATCAAACATTGCAATATTGCAAATCGGTTGCAAAACATTGCTGTAAAGTTGCGGCAACGTTAAGATGTCCGCTTTTTCTAATATTACAACGAAATGTCGCAGCAATATTGCAATGTAATATATTTAAAAAAATGCAACGTTGCTGTAATCATGTAGTAATATTGCATATAAAACATTTTTTGGAAATCATTCTTGATACATGATTCTTGGAATATTTTATAGAAAACATATAAAATACAAAAATCTTGATATAAATAAAAATTTGTAATGATTGTATTTAAGATAATATATTTTAAAGTCATATTTAAATATGTATATATAGATTTTATTATATCTAAATATATATACTTAGATATAACTTTACAATATCTTATCTTGAATACAATCATTACAAACTTTTATTTATATTAAGATTTTTTATTTTATGTTTTCATAAACTTTCGAGATTCATTTATCAAAAACTGTTTCTTTCAATGATTTTATTTAAAATAATATATTGTAAAGTCATATTTAAATATATATATTTAGATATGACATTTTCAAGGTAACTAAATAATTTCCTCAAAAAGTTCTCCTAAAGGTTTCATGACAAACGGGTTATCTGAGTTCGGAGCGAAGTCAAATGTAAAGAAAGAATAACAGAGGCGTAAACAAAGCTTCTAAGAAGCATAAATGTAAAACATACCAATCTATTCTGTACACATCAATTTAATACAATTCAACAATATGCAATTTACGTATGCAATTATATAAAATTTTCACAATAAGGGGATATAAAAAAAGATATTTCTTTATTAATTCAATAAATTTTTAATCGATCTTTTCTTGAAAAAGATATAAATAAACTATTGATTCAGAACTAGTATTGAAAAGATAAAAAATAAAGAGAAAATGTCAGAAAAAGTTACGAGATATGATATATGATAGTACTTCTATTAATTTAAAGATATATATATATATATATATTAACATAATCACATATACACATATTACATTTATAGACGCAGTATGTATTTATTCTGGTTTCTCGGGAAACGCAACTTTCGATTTATTTACCGAATCTGACTCTGTTTTATTAGCTCTATTTGAGCGCAACACCGCACCCGGACTGGGATACGGCCTCATTTGATAAAGAGGTCCCGATGCGGTTGTATCCGCACCAGTTTTGGCTTCGTTATGTCTAGCCAATCCATCTGACCATTTTCCTCTATGAAGTAATTATATATAAATAAAAGAGAATCATACAATACATTCCAAGTAATAAAAATGCATTTGAAATACAAGTACACACCTGGGAATATCGCTATACGATGCTGGATCCATAGGATCCAATGTGCGATCTTTCTTGTCTTTACCATCACTTCTATCAGATCTTTGAACTCTTTTATTGTCTGGTCCTTTATATCTTGCACGATTTTCAATCTTTTTATCTTTCCTGATGTCACTTTCATCTACCTGAAATATCATAGTACTGTTCATAAATGTTAAATGTGTTTTATTGTCTGATGCTCATATAATAATAGATGACTTATAAATTTACAATATTACATAAAACATACAATTACTAACCTCCATTTGTTCTTGGTCACTAGCACTTTCATCACTTGACATATTATCATCTTGATCTCCTGCCTTTAAATGCAACTCTTCACGTAATTGGGATGCTGGTTGCGATATCTGACACTTAGGATGACCAGGTGGTAACCAAGATACCAAATCAGATGACCAATCCCAATAGTAGTGTTGTCCACTGTAAACAGACTTTAAATTAATCAATTTTCTAGTGAAATATTCTGTATATCACACTTTCTCATTAATATATAATTTCAATCTTTTTTTTCAAAAATTGTAATTTTATTGAAGAATATTTATATCTATTTTTATACGACAACAAGGATTGTGTTACATAATTATTAAAATTTGTATAATTGAACAAAGTTAGTATTTATTTTTTGAGAGAGAATAGATTAATACAGAAAATTATTAAAGCTCACCATCCAGGATCGTAAACTGCTTTCCAAGTCTCTGGCAAAGGGTATTTCTGAATCAATTTCATTTGTCGTTTTAAATACTTGTCAGAAGGTTGTACGTGTCCTAATCCCCATAATTCCTTACATTTCTTTGTACATTCATGATAGATATTATACTTGTTAGGACATCCGTTGTAACCCTGAATGATGAAATGATTACATTATTGCAACCAAATATTCTAATGAATTTGCAAAATTTAATGTTACTAATCTGCCATGATTGCACTTGCCATAAACTTTTGTGATATATCAATTTGATTAATTTCTTCTTTTGTATTGTCATAATCTTCAGCTATTACTTCTTCGTGCACCTTCTTTTTTGTTTCTTTCTTCCCAGATTCTGCGAAATTAATATAATTTAACATTATACAAATGCAATAACATATGTAATCTTTATAACAAATAAGTAAAAAATATATATATCTTTTAAATATCAGTTTTAAAGAATGAAAAGCAAATTAACTTATGTACACAGAAAAGTTTTAGTTATTGTTAATAATTATATATTTTAATATTAGATATATACCATGCTTTTCAGAGCCAGAAATTAATCCTCTTTTCGCAAGACGTGCAGCTAAAGCAGCTGGCAAAGGCATTTTATATTTTTTCAGTCCAAACCACAAGAAATCTGTCAAAATGCGCAACGTAAAGAAAGTTTCACAATATAATTTCTGGACGTAAAGCCGTAATCACACTACGGGTTGCGGGCTTCGTTGCGGTTGGAGTTGACCAATCAGAGTAGCCGGTTGACAAATTGCTTTATTCTAATTGGTCAATTTCAACTGCAACTGCAAGGGTCTTTTCACACAAAAATACGTTAGCAGTGAAACATAGTTAGTAAACAAATTGACCAATCACAGTCAAGTATGAAGAGAATACTCAGCTGTGATTGGTCAATTTTTTAAGGCTTAGGGCTTAAATTATCTATTGTAGATCGGGACTTAATTCCAATGCAATATTTTGCGACATTTTGCGATATCTTGGGGCGCAAGAGTGGGATTCGATTGACGATGTCAATTGGCCAATTCAAAACAGGACTCTGATTGGTTAATAATTGCTGGTTACTCTAGGCAGAGAGAAGACTGAGAGATGTCATGGCCCGCTTTTAGCTGATCTCTGGAAGCGATACTCCCTCTGTGGACATTAAAAACGTGAACATGAATTACAAAGCCAACGTTCATGAATGTTCTCAAAGGGTAACATATATGTCTCTCTGCTAATATAAATAATATAAATAAAAATATAAATAATTTAATTAATAATAATTTATTATATAAAAATATTAGTATGTTCTCTCTTTCCACACTATTATTTATTTATTTATTTATGTGTCTTCTTTTTATGTTCAACATTTATTTATTTATTTATTTAACTCGCTATAAGTCAATCTTTTAAAATATAACTAAAAGCAAAACTAAATATTATAGAATTTGACTTCGGAAAAGCGCGGTAAAATAATCGAATAAATTCAAATAATTAGATCCGTGATAAATTATTTAATAAATAATCAATTTTAATCAATAAATTAAAATACTTCCATAATTTAATATTCCATGTTAATGTATATTTTATAATTTATAAAATATTTTGGCAACGAATTATCGACATGGCATTCGACTTTGGCAATATATTTAACAATAGCACGCTATTGTTAAATATGTTCGGGCTTTATTATCATTCGCATGATGACGCTTGAGCGATAAAGTAGTGATGCGAAACGCTTCGCATATTGTCAAATTTTTTTTCTAAACACGATTACGATTAGTATCAAAACATAATTTGATATAATTACTAATAATTAAAAATAAATTAACTTATGATAAACGTCATGAAAATGTATCGCAACGATAAATCTTTATCAAACCGCAATCATTAATTACTGCGAATAAAAATTGAAAAAGGGAATATAAAAAGGGATAAAGAAATTAATTTTATTATGATCTTTCGATTATTGCTGCTTAGTATAATAATTTATCTAACTTATACTTATTAGAATTAAATAAATTTCGACCAATGTTTTAAATTTTCTTAATCGACAATCATTCATAGAATATTTCAACGACGAATTATAACAATAACATAATATAAGTCGGTCTTGGCGATATAAATAGTATTGCGGTAATGTTTCTGACCTACGATCATTCCCTCAATGGCCTTCGAACAGTGAGGTAGTGATATGAGACGTTCCATAAATTCTTTCTCTAACAATTATTTTGAACATTGCTTTATATAATAGATTTTCTCTTATCTTTTATATTTTTATTTATCGTTTATATTTGCGAATTAAAATTTATATAGTATATTACAAAATTAATTATATATTATATTATATATAAAATTATAATATAACCCTCCCATAGGGTACACCTTGTCGCGGTGGGAGGGCTTAGTACCTGGACGGTGCCTTGAGATTTATCTTAAATTTTTCAATTTATGATAAATCTTAAGGTGCCTGAAAGGGAAGCTAAGTATCCTTTCGCGTCGTCGGTACCGTCAACATGCCGCGGACGGCAAGCGCTTCGTCAACGCGTCGCGTTAAGTATATACATATTAGGGAGTGCCGTTAAAGGTATATACATATTAAGTATATACATCGCGTGTAAAATAACGAAAATAGCGATATAAAAATATCGCTGGCGAATGCGGGAGTGTCGTCAGTATCGCGCGCCAACAACATGAGATACGATATATTAAAGTGTGTTTCTCGTAATTATTCCGCGATCGGGAGTGCTATGCAAAGTGTCTCGCAATCGTTTCTGTACACGGTTAAATATAATTAATTGTTTGTTCGCGAGTGAATATCAGTGCTACGAGGAAACAGCAAAGAATGAAAAAGAAAGGAAAAGGACATCTGGAAAAGTATTGGACAGCCAGAGAGCAGTGACAGAGCCTGAAGCATCCAGAGAGATATGTGGTGAGTAATTTATAAAAATTATTTATTATTTATATATATTATTTTCCAGGGTTGGAAAGAAACGCGTTACTTGTAACGTCATTACAGTTACTTTTTTCGATAACTGTAACGGTAACGACGTTACAAATTTCGTAATAAAAAAAGTAGCTTTGTTACAGTTTTCGGTAACGAATAACGAATTTAACAATTACTTTTATTGCCACTTTTTACAAATTTATGAATTTATAAATTTAATTTGCGTTTAATGAATTATTTTTTTCGTTTTTCTCGTTTATTTTTTTCTGCTTTATGATATTCACTTGATATTCAAAAAAAGTAATTACGCACTAATCAGCATACGATTATACAGCAATTTACGCTTTGTACAACACTCGCGACCAAACCTTTGTCATTTACACCAAGCCTTTTGTCATTTTGCTACGTGATAATAATGCAATATATCTCAAAAAGTTATGACTCACTCGACATTAATTAAAATCAAAATCAAATCGCGCCACTCGCTGTGTAAATAAAAATCGTACAAATTAATAATCACTAATTGTAAAAATTATACAGAACAATCGCGTTTTGAAGGATCGATTCTCGACGAACGATTCGAGTCTTCCCGCGAGAAGTCAAAATTGAGTTCGAACGCGTGACGCGCGTAAAAATAATATATCAATTCGTCATATAACAATTCTTTTAAGAAAATAACCAGTATATTGAAACAGTTTCACCAACTGGTCAATTGATCGGTTTTTATATCAGTAATTAAATCGGTAAAACTGTTTTGATATACTGATTATTTATTTTAAAAGTTTATTCATTGTTGCCGCGATGTTAACGTACGGGATAAACGGAATACATTCGTAAGTTACAATTTTATTATTAATAAATAGTTGATTTGATCATTGCTCTTTGCATTATTCGAAATACTCGATTATACGATTGGAATATAATGAGAATATAATTTCGAAACACGTATTTCGCGTGATGTGTTCATTTAATTAAAAATAGAATCGAATGCAATTAAGAATCGATGTGTGACCGGAATCAAAATTATAAATTATCATTTTGTTGCAATCCTTAGGAACAATAATTATTATTCTTTTAATATTTATAATTAAGAATATTTCGTTGATCGAATGGCAAAATCGAATAATTAACGTAATGGAAAGCTTTGTGATGTATATTAATCGTTTAATAAATAATTAATCTGTGTGTACATGTGTGTGTGATTTTAAAAATATACTTGTATATAAATTCAATTTTCATATGTGTACGTCATAGTACGCGTTAAATATTTTGGCAGCGAGGTCAATAACACGACGTTCGGTCTTGATGACGTAGCGCTGTATTGTTTACATAGGCGAAGACCTTGTATCATTCGCACGGCGATATTCGAGTAGTAAAGTAGTGATACGGAACACTTCGTATTATTGAATTCTTTTTCTAACAGTGCGATCGCGATTAATATCGACATATAATTCGCTACGACTATTACAATTAACAATTAATTAACTCTTAATGAATAACATGAAACTATATGGCGATGATACATCGAAACGCGATCCTTCGTTATTGAAAAATAAAAATTGAAACAAAAGAGCCGGACCTGTTGACTCGAAGATGACTCTTGTGTGAAACGGGATTTTCGCTCGTACCGAAACCGGGAGTGCCGTTTAAAGTATATATATATATATTAAATATATACATCGCGCGACAAAACAGAAAATTTTTAATCATATCGAATAGTGCGGGAGTGCCGTTCAGTATCGCGCGTAAAATAACGAAAATAGCGATATAAAATATCGCTCGCGAGTGCGGGAGTGTTGTCAAAGTATCGCGTGCCAACAACATGAGAGGAGGAGGAGACCTGGGAGAGGCATCTTACATCGGCGGAGCAACCTGATGGTGAATATTTATTATTTGTATATCAATTGTTATAAATCGTACGCATAATAATTGGTTCTTATAATTTAAAGGAATTAAAGAGAAAATTAGAGAGAAAGATTTTTATAAATATGAAAATTTCTATTTAAAAAATAATTTTAAAATTTATAAAATCTTCCCATACGTGTTTACATCTGCTTATTATTTTACACACGGGATATGAAATTCCGCAGCCTTGTTATAAATGAATTTTATATTTGTATGTTTCAGACGTAGTTTTAACGACAACAATAATAACGGATAACGATAACTCCGCTGCTGCACATTAATGCCATGGTGAGTGATAAAAACTTTTATTTAATTTTAAGGTAACGGTAGAGATTGTAGATAAATCTGTTGCCTTAAAATGGATGAGCTAGGATAGATTAAATAATTTTTAATAAATTCGTTTGAAATGTATTGCATAGATCGCGAAAATATTACAGTATATTAATCATAAAGAAAGAAGACCGAGAAAAGATCATTCTTGTAATTTTATCTAATTTATTGAAAAGAACATTAAAAATTCTAACAATTACATCTGATGCTAATTTATTCTTATAACACGTATTTATCTTATTCACTTACCTTATTCTAATTTCTTATAGCTCGTCCATTATAGAATTTGTTGTAGATATTGTTTTTAAGCTTAATGTAAAGCCAAATAATTAATTATTATAACGAAATAACTTGTAATATGATAAGTGTTATACATATATTAATTTTTTTATAAATTTATTATTAATTCGCACATCTGCAATCGAATATTCCAATTATTGTCGATTTATTTAATCGTCGCATTTTCTCGCGAATTTTAAATCGCAATTTATTTAGTAATTTAATTGTTGAT